TACATGTAGCTGTAAATGTCAAGATTTCATTCCTTTTGATGGCTGAGTAATACTCTATTGTGTGTATGTAGATGTACACACACACACACACACACACACACATACATACCATATCTTCTTTATCCATTCATCCACCAATGGGCTCTTTCCAAGGTATGGAAAAATAGAACAAACATTTTAGTGGTGGAGTTGACTGTTGAGTTGAGGGTAAGAAAGCCCAGAGTAAATCAGAAGTTTGGAACCTGGCTGACTGGGATATTGGTGTGTGATATTGATAGAAACATGAACAGTAAGAGGAAGAGTGGATTTTCAGTGCTAATGGCAAGTGTACAGAGTAATAGATGGGGGAGGGGGAGGAAAGGCTTTGAGAGCTACTACAGTCTGAGAGTAGTGACTTTTAAACTATGTATTTTTAATTTTTTATGTGTGTTGAGGTATAATATACATACAGTAGACTTCTCGTCTCTTAGTACATAGTTCTATGAAGTTTTACAAGCGCACCCGTTCACATAACCAGTACCATAGTCAAAATACGAGCAGCTCTGTCACCCTAAAAATTCCTCCATGCTCCTTTCCTCCCCACCTTCTCCCAACAACCGCTGATGTATTTTATGTCCTTCTAGTTAAAACTGTGTTTTCAAGAGTCTCTGGGACCTTTACCAATAGGATCTGATGAGCAGAAGGGCCAAACACCAAGTCCCCAGCATTCGTCCTCACTTCATTGTGACAAGTTTTACTTATTTTCTGTTATATGTATTGACATTTTACGTACTGGCATTTTACTCGGGGTGAGTAGGAAAGCTGTTATCCTGCTGTGTTGCTGACACACCTCTGACCCACGGTTCTCTCATACCTGCATCATTCCAGTAGCCTGTGAGGAGGTGTTCCCACTCTGACCTTTGCCCCCTACAGTCTATTCTCAACATAGCAGTCACCATGATCCTTCCACACTGTTGATTAGATCATGCCATTCTTCTCAAAACCTTGTAATGGCTCCCCCTTTCCTAAGAAGAAAGACAAGTCCTGGCATGTGACCTAGAAGCCACTTCCCTGCATTCTCTGAGTGCCCTGTTAATTTTCCAACCTTCTCACGCACGCGCACTCTGTCTCTGCTAGTTGGTTGGTTACACTGGCCTTCTGTGTGTTCTTCAAACAGGTTAGCCATGTGCTTGCTTGAGGACCTTCACCTTACCTTGTGTGTTTGTGTGTTTTTAATGGAGGTAAAATCCACATAACATAAAACTAACCCTCTTAAAGCTTAACACCTACAATTCAGTGGTATTTGGTATATTTATAATGTGCAAACCATCGCCTCTAGCTAGTTCCAGAACATTTTCATCCCCCTCCATTGAGACCCTTTGTGCATCAAACAATCACTTCCAATTTCTCCCTCCCTTCTTTCCTTCCTCTCTCTCTTCCCCTCCCCTGACAACCACTAATTTGTTTTCTGTGTATATGGATTACCTATACTGGACATATCCTATAAGTAGAAACATATAGTATGTGACCTTTGTGTCTGGCTTCTTTCTCTTTCACGTAAATGTTTTCACAGTTCATCTACATCCTAGCATGCATCTATACACCATTCGTTTTTATGGATGAATAATATTCCATTGCAGATATATTTCATTCATTCATTGAACATGTGGGTTATTTCCACCTTTTGGCTAACAGTGAAAGTGCTATTATGCACATTTATGTATAGTGTATGTTTGAATATATGATTTCGATCCTTTTGGGTATATACGTGGGATTGGAACTGCTAGGTCATACAGTAATTCCGTGTTTTACTTTTTTGAGGAATGACCTGTTTTTCCATAGTAACCAAACTGTTTTATATTCCCACCAGAACTTACCTGGGTTTTTCTTTTCTTTCTTTTTTTTTTTTTTTTAAGAGAGAAAGAGCATGTAACCTGGGGAGGGGGCAGAGAAAGAGAGAGAGAGAGAATCCTAAGCAGGGTCCATGCTCAGCACGGAGTCTGACATGGGGCTCAATCCCATGACCCTGGGATCATGACTTAAGCCGAAATTGAGTCAGATGCTCAGCCCACTGAGCAGGTGCCCCCTTATCTGGGTTTTTATGTCTTCATTGCATGTAGGTCTTCATTCAGGCTTCACCTTCTCAGTGAGGTCTACCCTGACAACCCTATTAATATTTAGTCCTGTGAAGTGTTCCCATCCCTGCTCTCACCCCAGCATCCTCCCCCGTACCCTACTTGTGTCTGTTTCTCTAACGTCACTTTTTAGGCACAAGTGTAACGTTTCATTATACTCACTACCTCCTCCCCTAGGAACTCTTACTCTTCCCCAGATCATAGAACCTGCTCATATCAGCAGTCCGTCAGACACCTGTCATTGCACGGGTGTATGTAGTTAAAGCAAAAGTAAATTTCACATCCATTAAAACTCGGCACACAGTGGCTGAGAGCCCTCTGCTCTACCATCCGCTAAATGACGAGGTTGCACGTTCATGATTTGCAATTATCTTGTCGATTGGATTTCCTTCAAGGGCGTCTCAAAGTATAGCAAATTATGCATGCTTTTCATACTTTAAAAATGCTAATTGTATTTTTCAGCCAACAACATTGACCTATCTGGGTGTCTAGATATTGAATTAGAGTAGCATCCTCAAATGTGTTTTTGCTAAAAATGGTCAGGAAGTCTCTTTTGCGTCTAACACAACTGGTGTGTACGAGCATGACTGACTTTAGGCTGTTTCCCTATGTTTCCCTTGAGTAAGGGAGAGAGCAAGAGAGTGCATTTTTAAGGAGATTTCTTCACAGCTGACTCCACAGAACACTAGACTAGGTATAATCTCGTAAAACCTGAGGAGTTCGGGCAGGGGTGTGGGCTCAAGCTTTCTGCTGCGTCCCCGCGCCCACCTTCAGATGTGGTCGGAGCGGCTACAGGAGGATTGGCTTTCACCTTCAGTTTGCAGCCTCCTTTTAAACAGGTTTCCGGGCATGAATGCTTTTGTTCTTAGAAGCTCAACGTTTGATTTGTTCATTTTCCTTTACACTTTTTTCCATACTACTTTCTTTTTATAACTCAGGTTCAAGAAGCAATCATGACCTTTGTCCTTCCAAAGCACCCAGTGCTCTTTTTGCCAATTCGCTGAGACCGTGGATATTCACAGTGGTGCAGTGATGTCTGTGGATTATTTGGCAGGAAAATACAGAACTATTTTGAGGCTCTGCAATAAGAGAGGCATTCTTTCTGTTAAATCCAGGTCTCAAAATAGGACTTGATAGTTTCATATATTTTATGAAACGGAAATGGGATTGATAGGAAAATTCCCCCCATTTTGGAAACGAGAGCAGGGTCAAGGACTGATTCATGGCTTTCCAACTGGAAACATGGCCTAGGTTGTAGTCTCCTTCCTGGATGACAAGAGAGGGAGCAAGAATCGGTGGGCCTGTCCCTTCAATGATTTTTGTTGACATATTGACAAGGCTCCCTGCCCTACTCGATACAGTGAGTACTTAATCAGAAAAAGAAGAAACCTGTCTGTATCATTTTTTAAAAGTTCATTTCCTGGTATGAATATCTTTTTCGTACTGTCTGAATATTGAATTTTTTTTAAACAGTGGTGGAATGAGAAGTGGTAGCAGACAGAATTAATTTTCTTTGTTCTCGTTCTCGTGGGGTCCTCATAAGTTTGCCTTATAACATAATTGTGTTAATTTTTGACTCTCCCACCAGAAAGATCTCTGAGATCTAGATCGATTGATAATCCTCCTAGCCTGGGGGCGCCTGGGTGGCTCAGTCAGTTAAGCCTCAGACCTCAGCCCAGGTCATGATCTCGCAGTCTGTGAGTTCAAGCCCCTCATCATCGGGCTCTGTGCTGACAGCTCAGAGCCTGGAGCCTGCTTCGGATTCTGTGTCTCTCTCTCTCTGCCCCTTCCCTGCTCATGCCCTGTCTCTCAAAAATGAATAAACATTAAAAAATAAAATAAAAAAGAAGATAATCCTCATAGCCTTTCATAGTACCTTGCATACAGTAGGCCCACACTAAGACTGGAATTACAGAAAATATCAGAGGCCCTGGGGACCAGCTATATTCAGAGAGTCTCTTCTATCACAAAGCCCTTGAGAAAATGAATTCCTCTACTACAGCAAAATCTCCTCCACACACTCCCAGTTATCAAGATTCCGGGGTAATTCTATAGACATTTGCCTTTGTGGTGGTTTGTTGTCGCCTTTGGTCTATAGGACACACACTAACGTTTCAGGTGCTTGGGTTTGGATGAGATGAGCTACAGGAAATGTGAAACGCGATGCACCGTGACCGTTTTTCTTGAGCGATCTTCCTTTAACAGAAGTAGACCTGGGGAAGATCTGTTGCAAGATAGCCTTATACTAATAGGTAGGAACAGAAATGACTATGAAAACCAGATGTTTTGTCTGGGCCTCTCTTCAGAAGCAGGGTGTTGGCACATACCCTTTTTCTCTTGTTTACCCGCCGTGATGAAAAGGGCGCCGGTCTAGTGGTGTGCACGATTGCCCTGGGCATTTGTCCATTTGCATCTCTTACGATCACGGTTTCTACACGTGATGTCTCTGTTGGCCATTTAAGTTTATTACTTCTGAAACTGTCCTATTGGAAATCCAGGATGTGAGCAATATTTATTTTCATTTAAAATTGCCAGGGGGATTCGTTAGACAATTCCTGCTTTCCTGACACTGCCAAGCAGCTTCACGGGATTTCCCCCTAACGTTCAGGGACGCATTTGTACTACACATGCGTCCTAACTTGTTATTATTGTAGAATTCTACTTGCTTTAATTTAGAAAATTCCAGGCGTGTTTTATTCTGTCTTTACAGGGCTCAGAACCATTCTCCTTTGAAAACAGCCAAAAGATCTTATTTGTGGTTCTGATCCTAAACTGATTTGATTTGCTTTTAGGATCTAAATCATTTAAATAAGGGGAAGGAAAGAATTTTATTCTGCCTTAATACCGCAGAGACTAACTTACCTGGTGGTGTTATTTTCCCCACAGGTTCACATCCAGCTTTCCGAGTGGCACCGTGCAATTTTTCTGCCACAAGCCTGGCTTGCATATATGAGTCGAGCTTACCATGCCATTTTACAGGTAAGGGGACCATAGGATTGTTTGCCATAGGGGAGTATCTCCTTTGTCTCTCACATTTTACTGCCAACATGTATTTGATAGGAAAACACTTAGGAAAATGCAGTGCTTATTTTTGCTTCTAGAAGAATGTGAGTTACGTACATAACTGCACTTAAAGTTTTTTTTAATGTTTGTTTTGAGAGAGAGAGAGTGTGCGCATGAGCCAGCGGGGAAGAGAGGGAGAAAGAGAGAGAATCCAAGCAGACTCCACACGCACCATGGAGCTTGACATCGGGCTCAATCTCACAAACTGTGAGATCATTACCCGAGCCGAAATCAAGAGTCAGACACTTAACCGACTGAGCCACTCGGGCACCCCAACTGCACATCAGTTTTAAATATTGTTGTCTTTCATCTGTGACCTGTCCAGAGCTCCCTCTTGGGTGCTTCTCTTTATGAGATCTCCTAAATGTCCCAGATCCCGCCCGTGGCTGTCCCGTAGCACCTTGACGTAAGTATGTTGCAGACGGAGTTCATCATCTGCCCTTGTTCCTGGGCTTCCGCAGGCTGGACTTGTTTACAACTCCAGCCTTATCTCTTAACCCTTCCCCGAATTTTAAATTTCAGCCTTGCTAAACTTACTCTTTGTTTTCCAAACTCGGCACGTCTTCCCAAGCCTCTTGACTTTTACACACTGTTCCTTCTCTTACAGGAACTGCTGTTCCTTCGAAGCCCACCTAGTTTCTACTTATTCTTGACATCATTTTATCTAGGAAGGCATCTGGGAGCACCCCCCCCCAAAACTGGAGTATATGCCCCTCAACTGGGCTATCTTAGACCTCCTCTTTTTATTTTTATTTTTTTTACAAATAGTTTATTGTCAAATTAGTTTCCACATAACACTCAGTGCTCATCCCCACAAGTGTCCTCCTCCATGCCCATCACCCCCCTCCCCCCCACATCCATCAGTCCTCAGTTTTTGTCAGCATTCAAGAGTCTCTCATGGTTTGCCTCTCTCCCTTTCCCCCACCATTTCCGCCCTTCTTCTCCCCCTTGTTCCTCCGTCAAGTTCCTCCTAATCCTCCTATACGTGCAAACATATGATATTTGTCCTTCTCTGCCTGACTTATTTCGCTCAGCATAACACCCTCAAGGTCCATCCATGTTGCTACACATGGCCAGATTTCATTGTTTCTCATTGCCATGTAGTATTCCATGGTATAGATAAACCACATCTTCTTGATCCATTCATCTGTTGATGGACACTTAGGCTCTTTCCATGTTTTAGCTATTGTGGAGAGTGCTGCTATGAACATTGGGGTACATGTGGTCCTATGCATCAGCATTTCTGTATCCCTCGGGTAAATTCCTAGCAGTGCTATTGCTGGGTCATAGGGGAGTTCTATTGTTAGTTTCCTGAGGAAACTCCACACTGTTTTCCAGAGGGGCTGTACCAGTTACATTCCCACCAACAGTGTAGGAGGGTGCCCGTTTCTCCACATCCTCGCCAGCATCTAGAGTTCTCTGTTTTGCTCATTTTAGCCACTCTGACTGGCGTGAGGTGGTATCTCAGTGTGGTTTTGATTTGTATTTCCCTGATGAGGAGACCTCCTCTTTTTAAAGATTTTTTTTTTTTTAATGTTTATTTTTGAGAGAGAGAGCATTGAGCAGGCGAGGGGCAGAGAGCAAGGGAGACAGAGGATTCGAAGTGGGCTCTGCGCTGACAGCTGAGAGCCTGATGCGGGGCTCCTGCTCATGGACCCCGGGATCATGACCCGAGCCAAAGTTGGATGCTTAACCGCCTGAGCCACCCAGGCACCCCAAGATTTTATTTTATTAATTATTGTCTACACCCAACATAGGACTCTAACTCACAGCCCCGAGATCAGGAGTCACATGCTGTACCACCTGAGCCAGCCCCTGCCGTGCTTCTCTCTTTGAAGCCCTTATCACCTTAGACACTTGTCTGGTGTCTGTCTTTGGCTGTCTCTGCTCCTTAAACCTCGGAGCTGTGTTTTCTTCCCTGGTGCCTCTCTAGAACCTGACATAGTGTCTAAAACATGAGAGGTGCTCACTAAGTAAACGAATTCTACTCAGTTTGACTTCATTTAATCTGATAATAGTGTAAGTCCTAGTTTGTGAATTTTTGAAATGAGAAACAAGTTTGGATCCGTTTGGAAATATATGAACAGTTAACACTGTAAGAAAATGACCAGCCAACCCTCTTCCCTAGCTTAAAATTAATTTTTAAGGATGATGGAAAAAAATCTGATGGTACTTAAGTAATTTATGGCCCAGGATAGGATTTCCATGGAGTCCCACGAAGGCGTGGTGTTATGTTTGAAGGTAACCACTGTCGTAAAAAAAGATGGAGGGCCAGCACCTGGCTGGTCCAGTCAGTTCAGCGTCTGACTTTGGCTCAGGTCATGATCTTGTGGCTCCTGAGTTCCAGCCCTATGTCGGCCTCTGTGCTGATAGCTCAGAGCCTGGAGCCTGCTTCAGATTTTGTGTCTCCCTCTCTCTCTGCCCCTCCCCCACTCGCACTCTGTCTCTGTCTCTCTCAAAAATAAATGAACATTAAAAACAGTTTTTAAGAGGGCAAGGGGAGGAGTGGAGGGGGAGGGAGGAATAATTAACCATTTATTGAGTCTAGGATTTATAAAGCAGTCATACATCTTCGAGATTCTGATTCACCAGAACGGAGTAGGGGACCAGGAACCTGACCAAGCTGTCAGGTAATTTCAGCATAGCTACTCTGTCAGCACTCTGAGCAGCAGTGTTTTAGATGGCTCCCCAAACTACACTGGAATCCACATTTTAAAGATGTTCTTTTTTTGTTTAATTTTTTTTAACATTTATTCATTTTTTAAAGTGAGAGAGACAGTGCATGAGTGGGGGAGGAACAGAGAGAGATGGAGACACAGAATCCGAAGCAGCTTCCAGGTTCTAAGCTGTCCGCCCAGAGCCCAACATGGGGCTTGAACCCACGGACTGAGAGATCATGACCTGAGCCTAAGTCAGACGTTTAATCAACTGAGCCACCCAGGCACCGCTAAAGATGTTCTTTTAGAACCACTGTTTCCTTTGGCTCAGCTTACATACCTTTTTGTCCTAGGTGGCATCTGGGTACTCAGTTCTGAGTAGGTGTGTGAGTGAAGGGATGTGTATTACTCATACACACCCTTAAACTAAGTACAGTTTTCTATTCAGGAAGAGTGGGATTGCAAGTCAGAGTATGTACTTTTTCCCACATCCCTTTTTCTCTCTGTGATTTTGCAGTGTTTTCCTTCAGTAAACATTCATGATGCACCTCTGGCCAGGCCCTGTGCAGGGTGTGTGGGACAGGAAGGAGCACAAAGCATTCATTCCTCTCAGGGAGCTCCCTGGTCAGTGTGGGAGACCAACGTGTCCATCAGCAATTTTATTACAACATCTCTGATGCCTTAACAGAGGATGTGCAAAGTCCTACAGGCGCCTAGAGAAAGAAGGCAAGAGTAACTCCTCCTCCTGCAGAAAGAACTGAGAATTTTATTTAGCTCTTAGCATAAGGAAGGCTAAATCGAACAGGATTATGGTGTAACTCATGCAGATGACTTGCAGTTGATTTAAAAACAGAAAGAAACCTGCATATTTCTTTTATAATAAGAACTACCATTTATTGAGTAGCTAGTATGTGTCCAACACTTAAGATATGTTGTTTCAATGAGTCTTTAAAAAAAAAAAAAAAACCTTTGAAGTAGGTGTTTTTAGGCCCATGTATCACGGGATTATGGACGAGAAAGCAGGGTTAGCTAGGAAGCAAGGCATTGGTGCAAGCCCTGATAGTCAGAAACCACCGGCTTCCTGTGAAGGAACTGAACCTTACGGCGGGACTTGCCTGTGACCCCAGAGCCTCAGCCTTTTCCACTGCGCAACATGCGCTTTCCCTGGCACTGTCATTAGTTGCAACAATAAATCATGCAAATCAGTGTAATATTTGAAAGGATAGGTCTATGCACGAAAAGCCAGCTGAGTATTTTTAGTAGTGCTCGTCCATTATTCTGCCCTTCTCCTGTGGTAGGTGATAGTGTGCCTCTCTGCTTATTTTATCACCTAAAATCCTTCTAGTTTGCATTTCTGTTTCAGTCCAGTTCCACTGAGAATAGGTGACCAAAGAAATGAAACTGAAAGTATAGACTTTAAGAAGATTTTCAGTATGATTTGAAGGTATAGGAAAGCTTTTTAGGGAATATGCACACTGATAGAGATTACGTGTTTGCATTTTTTAAAATGCAACAGAATTTATGGTATCTTAGAAGAATTAGAGCAACTGCCAGACTCCTTGTCTATATCAAGAATTTCTGTCCTGGAGGATACGTCTTCTATACAAGAGTTACAGTTACTCCCATCTGGTGCTAGACATATTTGGTAGCATTAAACCAGAGTATCATTTAGAGGAGACATGTTTCAGTCAGTTAAGCCTAAGAGATATGTTGAAAGATACACTTTATGTTATTTCCTGGGCGTTGATTATGATGTGGATAAGTTTGAGATCTGAACACTACAGGTGGCTTTTGCCTGGGCATCTGCTTTTAGCCTTATCTAATTTTAATCCAGTTTTGGATTTTAAGCATATCAATATGGTTGATATGGAGAGGTATGTGGCTTTCTTCCCATTAAGTTGGGAAATGCAGAGAGCTACAAGTTGATTGACAATTCAGAATCTATTGTGGTAAGGAGGCCCCTACAGCCATCCTTACCTTGTTGCCCTCATGGGACGCTCAGTTAGTTAAGGTCTCCAGCCTTTGTATAACGGGCTCTCGTGAATATGACCTCAGACTAAAGAGAGGAATTATATAGCAGATTGACTACAGACTTTTGCTTCCTGAGTTGGTCAGCTTGCTATAAAATAATCTAAAATCAAAACCAGAATCAGGAATGGTGACCTCAGTAGATTTCTCTCTGACCGTTGGTAAAAGATGTTTGGTTTTGATGTGTAGGTTTGGAGCTAGGTGAAAATTACTCACTGTAATCAGCATGCTCTTGGTTATGTAGGCTGGAGATTTAAAATAAAAAAGTAAGAATAGATAAATAATTGGCATCTTCAGGCAATCCAGAAATCTTAATTCAGGTGATCATTTTACCATCTTCTCTCCCAGTGACTCTTTTTGCCCCTTAAGGGGGCATGTGCTTCTGAATAAACAGTCTGACGTGGACTGGGTGGAAAGGGTGAGAAGGACCTTCCAGAAGAGGGGATTGAGAGAAGCAAGAGACTTTGGAAGAAGAAATAAGAAATGTATTTCGTGGGGCGCCTGGGTGGCTTAGTCGGTTAAGCGTCCGACTTTCGCTTAGGTCATGATCTCGCGGTTCGTGGGTTCGAGCCCCGCGTCGGGCTCTGTGCTGACTGCCAGCTCAGAGCCTGGATCCTGTTTCAGTCTGTGACTCCCTCTCTCTCTGACCCTCCCCTGCTCACGCTGGCTCTCTCTCTCTCTCTCCTAGAAATAAATAAAAAATATTAAAAAAAAAAAAAAAAGAAATGTATTTCATTATAGTCTGTGGTGCACTGGGTTATGGCTACAGAGATATGAGAAAGGCAGGTCTTTTCAACTTGCTGTGCAGATACTACAATGCTCGGTTTTTGTTTGTTTGTTTCTAAGCAGATTTTAGCCTTTTTCTTTCCTACTGCTTATCTTTTTTGGAAAAGCACCGTGGCAAGTAAATGTTCCTAGAGTAAAGAGGCCTAATTTAAGAAGCATAACTAGCAGAGACCGGCGATAAATACGATTTTCTATTTTGCCTGTCCCCCTGGGAGGCCACTGTCAATATTACAGTCTTGCCAGTGTGTGTGTGTTCACCTCTGATACCTTGCCACAAGAGACAGAGACGGGAACGAAAGGGCCAGGATTCTATCTTTGAAAATCTGGAGAGGGAGACGGATAGGATTGAAGTGAATAGAGATGATGTGAATAGGAAGCCCATCAGATCTTGGGGTGTCTGAGCTGGTCAGCCCCAGGGCACTGTGTGCTGAAAACTGTACCAAGTCGAAGGACCCCTTAGATTGACAGACAATCCTCGCCTTCAGTGAGCTCACGCACTGGTGCTAACAGAGGTGATCTATAGTCATGAAAGATCATTTTATAAGACGATAAAGAGAAGTGGGAATTTTTCTGGTTGTTATTAACAACACACCTGGTAATGGTAGCTCTTCGAAAGAGACACGTTTGTACATTATTGAGCATGCTTTAATGCCATGAGGTAATTGTCAGCCACGTTTTACAGATGCAGAAATTGAAGTTTAGAGAGGTGAAGTTACTTGCCCACATTTTTATACAGCAAGCAGGTGGAGATGACCTTAGATCAAGGCATTCTGATTCCAGAGCCCACCTACTTCACCCGACAAGGCTGTATTGCTTCCCTCTCTAGGGTATATAGGGAGATACACTTTTCTTCCATGAAACATACCTTAGAACTCTGAAATCTGTCAGAAAAAGACAACCAATAGAAAAACTGGACACAATAGGAAATCTAAAAGTCAGTGACCATACTGAAAAGGTTTTCAGTCTCACTGGTAAACAGTGAAGTGAAAATTAAAACCACAATGAACAACAATCCAAGCCTGATGATTCCAATTGTTGGGGAGAATGTGGAGTAAGTAGAACTTTTATTTGCTGCTAGTGAGAATGTAAGCTGTACAGCCACTTCTGAAAAGGGGATGGTATCTATCACTCAGTAACACAATGCACAGTAAGTGCTCGTCCAATTTAGGGCTCATTAATAAACCAGTATTTTCAATACATTTAAATAATGTGACTACAGGGGAAAGAGACTAATCAAAATAATCCTGAATGTTAAAAAAAAAAAAATAGAATAGTGACTATCTGAAGGTCTTGGTCTTAAAAGGGTAATAGTAGCTACATTTCTATTACTGGTAGAAGTTGAACATTGTATCAATATTTATAAAGTCAAGACATAAAAATGCAACATGCAGATATTTAAGAATAACCTTGGTTATTAATTACCTGAATCTTAAAAAAAATTTTTTTAACATTTTTATCTATTTTTGAGAGAGAGGGGGAGACACAGAATCCCAAGCAGGCTCCAGGCTCTGCACCATCATCACAGAGCCCAACGCAGGGCTCAAGCCCACCAATTATGAGATCATGACCTGAGCCGAAGTCGGACACTTACCCGACTAAGCCACCCATGCACCTCTATAGCTCATCTGAGTCTGCAGTGTCATAGATTACCCTCATTTTCTACCATTCTGTTATTATACTGGTGCCCAGATCCCAGTCTTGGTATGGTGTCCATTCAGATTATCAGCTGCAGACTCAGATCATTATGAGAGAGGGGATTTTTTTTTAACAGGACCTATGGAATTCAAATCCACTTTTAATAGACCTTCCAAAATGAAGTGCTGTGCCCTGCATTTCCCAAACCCACAGCTTCTCCAGGATAAACTTCTTGGGTGAGTGTTGAAATGCCGGAGCGCAGTAATCTAATTCTCTCCTCACACATCCTTGTTTATAATCTACCATTTTGTTAGGAACGCTGAAGGCCAACTGAGAGAGGCTACATGTGTTCTCAGTGTTTTTACAAAGACATTTCAAGGTCATGTGTGTCCTGCAGGGCAGAATGGGAGAACTGGACTTGCAGTTGAAACATGGGAAGGAAGGACCCGAGGAGGTGCAGAACAAAAAAGGCACAGCCTGGCTCTGGTAAGGGGATGGTGGTCTGCTGGGAATGAATGTCATCGCCTCCAGGAATGAACAATGAGGGAGGACGTGGCCACTTTCAAGGCCAGTGCGGAGGATGTTAACTTACCTACCCATCCCGGAGGGGAAGACACCTACAATCCGATAAGTGGATTTTCCACCCTCTCTCCAGATACACAAGTAGAGCTTTATTCATAAATCTTAATTATTTTTTAAATTGTTTTCTACAGCAGCGTGGAAATGGTTTGCTTTTCCCTTCACACCCCATACTGATTATTTTATATGCTTTCAAGTGGCAGATTCTGTTTCCCCCACTCAACCCATTGTCTTCCTAACTCACATTGAGTCAAGGAATACCCCTCCAGTCCCACGCTCCCCCCTCCCCAAGACTTCTTCATTATTAGGAGCACCTTTACCGCGTCAGGGCTTTAATTTCTTTGGCAGACATCCCCTCGTGAATTCCCACTATATTATCTAGAAATGTGTAAGTGCTAGCACATTAAAAGCAATTTAAATTGTTACATGGGTTAGGAAGAAAACCGTGTCAGATTAATGTGGCAGCAGCCGAAATCTAGGTAAAGTGCCCAGAATCTAAATTGCTTTACCTTCAGCCACAGGTTTCTTTAATCTAAAAATCTATTCAAAGCTTGCTCAAGTTTAGATTTTTTTATTTACTGATAACTGGCATATGTAGGAAAGCAGGAGCTCGGTGTGCATGTGTGTATACTTAAGTCATTCTCTGCTAAGTAACATTTTTTAGTTTTATTTTAAAAATAGCAACACAGTTTAAAACATTAGGACATTGAATTTAAGATTAGAGGTTAAGACTTTGGATTTCACTTCCTCTTTGTGATGATCTTTTACATGGAGTTTGACTTTCATCTTCTAAAAAAGATAATTTTGTGGGGGTCATGTATTGACTATATTCTCCAAAGTATATAGAGATAGAAGGAAGAATGTGACAGAAAGATGACCATTAAGAATAACTCCAAGATTTTGACCGTGAATAACTAAAAGTATGGACTTCCCCTTTACTGAAGTGGGGAAGACAATAGAAAAGCAGGTCCATGTAGGGGAAAAATCAGGTTTGGGACTTGCTAAGCCTCAGATGCCTAATTAAACCTCCACTTTAGAGATAATCAGGTAGGCTGTTGACGGTATGAGTCTAGAGTTAGGGGGTGAGATCAGGGCTGGAAATAGACATTTGGGAATGATCAACATATCAGCTGCATTTAAAATCCTGATGCTGGATAAGATCACCTAAGGAATGAGTAACGGTAGAGAAAAGGTCAGAGGAAAGGGCGTCAGAGCACTTCAACGTTTAGGGATGGATGAAGAGGGAACCAACAAGCACACGGAAAATTAGTGATCCGTGATGTAGGAAGAAAACCAAGAGAGAATGGAATGTTGAACGCCGAGGCAAGAAAATATTTCAGGGAAGGAGCAGCCAGTTGCATCAGAGGGTGCTGGGAGTCTGCAAAAGGTGGAGACTGAGAACTGGGAGAGACCTGGCCTCTTGAAAGTCATTGGAGGTCATAACAGGAGCTGTTTTGGTGGAGCTGTGAGGACAAAAGCCGGATTGTAGAAGGGTCTAGAGAGGGTGGAAGGAGATGAATGGCTTTAAATGAGTTCTGATATATGAGAAGGAGCGAAATGGGGCAATTGCTGGAGAACTTTTTCTTCAAAGATGGTAGATATACTTGGCTCTTAAGATTGAGTCATTCTCAGAAAGTGCTGAATAGCTAAGATTTTTAAATATTTCCAGTGACAGTAAGAGTGCTGACATAATTTATAGTTATTTTATAAATACTATAAAAATTTTGAGTTTATGAAACTCAAAGTATATAACGAAAATATCTGTGATTGCTTCTTTAAAATGTAAATATGGCGGTCAATGATCTTTCCTATATCTCAGGGCTTTTTTATTGGAAAATTTTTTTGTGAATATTTGAATATACGATCTTCAAGTCCACAAGTGCAATTATTTTCTTTCAACGTCAGAGTGATTTTATAACCAACATCTAAAATTTTATTTTATGTATGTACATAGCCACTATTCCATTATCTATAATTTGGAAACAGTAAGTTCTTGTTTTAGTGAGCTCTTCTGCATAAGAGTTTGGGCTGCTATAACTAAAATGCTGTCATCTGGATGGCTGACTTAAACGACAGAAACTTATTTCTCACATTTCTGGAGGGAGACCAAGAAATCAAGATCAAGGCACCAAGAGGTCTTGTGCCAGCGAGCGCCGGCTGCCTTGTTTGCGGGTGGCTTCTTGCTCCTTGTGTCTTCACGTGTTGGGGGAGTAGAGAGAGAAAGCCTGTCTCTTCTTATAGGCACTAATCCCATTCATGAGGGGTCCACCCTCATGACCTCCCAAACACCTAAGAATATAATAGAAAGGACATTAGTATAGCCACGATTCAGTATAAGAGATGACACCATCACGGCACTGTGTGTCTACAGCCACCTCCTTCCCCACCTCCGATAAGTGACCTAAGGAATCGGCAGAGGAAACTCTTTGAAGTAAAATTCCACACATAACAGTTTTAAGACCTGGGGTCATTTCCCGGGGTTCTTACTAACTGATGGATACGCAGAAAGAATTGGGCTGTATTCTAACATGCACTCTTGCACCTATTTCTAATCTTTACTGCAGGGTCCGAGACATGTTGACTGACGAGATCACCAAGGCGGCTGTAAAGTAAGATGCATTTATTCTCTTACCAAAAGTTTTCTATAATCATTTTTTTCCCCCTGGCAGGTGCATACATTTGTCCCTTTAGAGTATGTCCTAACTTTAAGAACATTAAAGGACTCTTCAGTTATTTAAAAAAAAAAAAAATCAATTGTTATCCAAGTTAATTCTTAAGTTAATGTCTTTTTGTGAGAATACGGAGGAATCAATACAAACATGACTTCTACATCAAGAGTCGCTGGGGTCATGCCCTTGCTGTAATACCTAACAAAATGCCCCGTGCTTTGACTTAGATTTAAAGGATTCTCATTTAGTTTGGGGTGGGGAAGGGGGGTTCTTGTGGCTTGAAAGAGAAATCCTTGCTAATGTGAATTATGTGGGTTCTACAAATAGGTTATTAAATCTCAATTGTGAGCCAGGCAATAAATCACAGTAGTACTTCCTTTCATTCCCTTTGTGTTATGGGGTCTAGGGTATCTAAAAATTGAATTTTTAAATGTTTTTATTTATCTTTGCAAGAGAACGCGAGCAAGGAAGGGGCAAAGAGAGAGGGGGACAGAGGATCAGAAGCAGGCTCTGCACGGATAACAGAGCCCGATGTAGGGCTCGAACTTATGAACTGTGAGATCAGGACCTGATCAGACGCTCAATTGACTGAGCCACCCAGGTGCTCCTAAAAATTGAATTTTTTTAAATTTTTGTAAAATGTTTTATTTATTTCTGAGAGAGAGAGAGAGGCAGCGTGGACAGGGGAGAGTCAGAGAGAGGGAGACAAAGAATCCAAAGCAGTCTCCAGGCCCTGAGCTAGCTGTCAGCACAGAGCCCGACTCGGGGCTCGAACCCACGACCATGAGATCATGACGTGAGCCAAAGTCAAACGCTTAACCAACTGATCCACCCAGGTACCCCAATTGACTTTTTAAATACTAAGAATGAAAGTGACAACCCATTAAAAAGGCAGTTTCAATCATATCCTTATGGTTGTTTTAACAAAAATAACAAGTATTGCTACCTTGAGGCTTTTCATTTATCTTAAGCCAACTCTCAACAGAAAATTATACCCTAATGAACTTGCTTGAACAATCTCTTCGGGTTCCTTTGCTAACAAGCTGAGTAATTGTTTCTGGCAGTAAGTTCCATGTCAGTTGTGTCCACTTCTCCCTTCCACCGTCCCCTTTAGCAGCTGCCATTTCTGTGTGACTTCCTTTCTTCTTAGACATATTTAATTGCAGTATAGTTTATCCCTATCATGTCCCAGAACCTTCTGTGGCTAAATAGGTTTTGCCTTAATAGAACAAAAACAGAATCTCCCTTAGAGTTTGCTTTCTACCAGTAATTTCTTGAGCAGGTGCTTTGCTGTAAGGTCTGATCAGAGTACATGAGCAGCTCTCAGCCTCATGCCTTCTGAATCCAGGGAAATGGAAGCCATAATCCTCCCCTGCACTCACTTCTGTGGGAGGCAGTGGGAAATATCTGTTGACATATCTGTTGACAAAATGAAAACTAAAGTACAGAGAGGCTTCGATAGGGACTCATTTGTGTCTGCTTATCTAGTTTGGTGAATGGCAGACACAGTGGGGGAGCGCTCAGCTGCCTCTCTGAGGGAAGGGTGTGCTGGGGCGGGGGCGGGGTGTCTCTAGCTCTTACTGTTCATAGTTTGTTCTATTATGTAATCTACTTATATCCTGGTTAAAAACCGTGCTCTGACATTTGCAGAAAAAAAAAAAAAAGAAAGAAGGAAAAAGAAAAGTGGAACCCTGAAGAACCTAGCAGCTCTCTATTAAAACAAGCTATAATTTTGCCTCTCTAGTAGCTTGTGCATTTTTCATTCTAAAATTTTATTTCAACAAGATTTTAATCTTCCAGTGTGCAAAGTATCGTTTCATGAAATGCCTAAAGAGAATGTGTTCACATTCTCAGTGGCACGGAGCAAAAATAATTCATGTTCTCATGGCGTTACCTTTTCATCAAAAATTTCAAAGTATTTTATAGACCCTATCCTATTTAAAGCAATGCAGACAATGGTAGGTATGACAGCAAGTCAGGTTCAAAGGCTGAGAGATTAATGACAGAGCAGGGAAGGAAAGAAATCGCTCTGCCTCGTTCTCTTTACTTTTTCCCACTGGCTTCCTCCAGCCATGTGAAGACCCCACCACCACCTGCTGCCAGCTTAGCCTTCTTTGGACCATGGTCGCCACAGGCTGGTTTGGGCCACTGTAAGACTTACTTTGTTCTGAGCCATAAGTTAAATGCAGGAAGTAAAACACCAGTCACAGGATTAGACTGATTTGCTCATTTAAGACCAGTTTTAAAGCATCAAGGATAGGGCTAAGGGAGAGTCAGAACACAGATAAAGCCTGGTGATTGATGTAAGTTTATTTTCTCGTTGTTAATTAAATAGATTTGAACCCGAAGATGAAAATCCCCAAAGGACTGGGTCACTTTACTAATATGTAATGTAATACTTTGTCCCAAAGAAAGCATCCTTGTAGCTCATCCTTCCCTGTGCTTTTTAATTAGGTTAATGGCATCAGTTTGTTCCAAAGGACAGTTTAATTAAAATGCTAGTGGTGTTGCCTAGATAAATACTGTACCGATGCTGACATGTTATTATGCAAATTAGTTACTACTGCCCAACTGGTTTGGGGGAGGGCGGGGGAAACAGATAGTTATTTGATCAACAAGCTGATGAGTGTTTGCCAAACCAGTTGTAGATTTTCACCTGACTAGCTCCTCCATGAATTTGTTTCACTGAATGTGTTTAAGTCACTGTGTGCAGCATGACCCAGAGGACCTGGTCACAGTACCTTTGTGAAATGTATAGCTTGGACTGAGCATACATTGCGTGGAGCGCAAAATACTTTTCTCTACTCAAAGATTAATGTCCAAATACACATTTAGTCCGCAACCAAAGGTCTAATTACTGGTGGCCTTAAATACATTGTTCTCCATTTTACAAGAACAATACATGTTCAAGAATGTCAAGGTCAGTAAAACTTCTGAAACAAAAGCATTTTGGGCACGGTTTTGGAACCGTGGAAGGGCTAAATGCTCTTTCAGAATTTCAGGGTTTTAAGAGTGCTTTTCATGTCGTCTTGTCTAATAGCCTTGTGTTTAAAAAGATTGGATACCCTATTCCTGGTGACCATCCAAGTTTTTCTCTGTGATTATAACCACTAGGGATCTGATTCTCGTCACTGAGAATTTAAAACTTTTTTTTTTTTTTAAATCTAGGGATTCATGGCCATTCTGTAGCAGGACAGGCTTGAGGATATTCTCTGCTAAAGGAAAGATATAGTGTTAGAAAGAAAAGATTTAATTTTTTTTTTACGTGATGTTATGGCTTGGGCACCTGGGAATGGCCAGACCTCGCCTAGCTTTCTGGTGTTTTATTATTAGCTGCGTGAGTTCCCAGTAATCCTCACTGCAAAACTCTAGCAAAACCTGGGTTGAAGGCATCTGCTTAGCCTTCAAGTATTTCTTCTATTTTCTCCTTCCATCCATCCCCTGATATAAATGTTGTGGTCTTATCAACTTACAGCAGGCCTCATAGTGGCACAAATTACGAATGAGTGAACCAAATGACCAACCCTGCAGAACAAGCTTTCACTGAGTTCATCCACCCCAAGGTGGGAGAACGAGAAGGGAGGAGGCATTAGATGCATAGGCAGATGGAGGAACTTGATAATGGCAAGTGCTGAGTCCCAGTCTTACCGAATGGAAGCAAAAATTCAAGAACATGCATGAATACTAACCACTTAATGCCCCCTAGCTCACATGTTTAGTCATGACTGTGGGATAGGTCTGGAGGTCCTTAGCATACATGGGGAGCAGAGCCAAAAGTCTTCCTCATCTAACATATCCGTTCCATTCCTGAGCTGGGGTCATTCTTGGGTGGACACACAGATTCACATTCGGGTCTCAAGTCCAGTTTTGGGGAAACATTTGTCTCCACAACCAGAACAGAGCCAAACTGTGATGATACAGGTGCCCTCTGGCCTGAGTTCTGTTATAACACAGGTGGCAAGCCAAGAGGATCTCATTAGTGTCCCATTTAAGATTTTATTCTATAGAATCACCTTGGAATTATGGAATAACACTAAACGTTCATTTTCAAGTGGTAAGTATATTTTAGAAGGTCCAGGTTTCTTGGGGCATCTGGGTGGCTCAGTCACTTAAGCTCTTGATTTTAGCTCAGGTCATGATTTCACAGTTCATGAGATTGAGCCCTGTGTCAGGCTCTACGCTGACAGCTCAGAGCCTGGAGCCTGCTTTGGATTCTGTGTCTCCCTCTCTCTCTGCCCCTCCTCTGCTCACGCACTATCTCTATCTCTGTCTCTCTCAAAAATAAGCATTAAAAAAAAAAGTAAAATAAAAACAGGACTTTTTTGCATCGTATCTAGGGTTTCTATATTACAAACTAACCTACAGATTGCTGGCTTGGACATATCAGGGGAAAGAAGGGAAGGATAATGATGACAGACAAAAGCTGCCAGCGTGGCAGATGGCCGGTGAAGGACGCTGTCCGAGTGGTTCCCTAGAAGTTGCTCCCACACACGAGTGCCTTAGAAAAGCCAGAGGCCAGCTCCATTCTACAATGCTTTATCCACGTAACTGTCCTCGCTCGTGTTTTCAAGACAAATCGATAGATTTATATTGGCCAGAGATGACATGGAAGGAGACAGCTTGGGAAGCGCAGTGTCCAATGATGAAGTAAACATTATCGGAAGAAAGAACTTAGACACATGGGCTCAGATTTGTAGGTTACAAAGTAAGCATAATGAGCCCGCATGTATGAGCAGAGGGAAACCTCAGCACTGGTGTGAGAAGGGAAAAGCTGCCGCCACCAGGGAACACGCAGACACGTGTTGGTGAACCTCGGGGAAGGAATGGAAGTGCTTTGTGACCTCGTCTGCCTTCTCAGTAGTAACGCCTTCTCTTCTCCTGGTTAACGCCCCCAAATCCTCTCTTGGAATTTTTTTCTTTTTCAACAGGGAGAGCCCAGTGGTCAAGGGCAACGCGCTGTTAGCCTTAAGCAGCCTCTCTGTGGTCGTATCCAGACACGAAGCCAGCCTCTCCTCCGACTCTGAGGGGGTCCCGGAGGTGAGTCGAGGGTGACTTGAACCAGTTGGGCAGCGTTTGAAAAGTGAGCAGTCTCTTTGAGCCTCTGGCCCTGAATTTGTGAGGTTAGAGTCTTTGCTTTGCAACAGCACCACATTATGCTACTCGAGGGGCCTTTATGCTGTGAGCCGGAGGGTCTCCTCCAACACTTTTTTTCCTTGCTGCTTTTCTGTTTTGCTTTCGCCATCACACTTAAGTGGTCATTTCCATTTGAAGGTACCAATTTTATGCAACAGGGGATGTCTTTTTGTGTTTACATCAGTGGTAACCAATCTTGGGAGGTTAACTAGGCTTACTGAAAGTGAACAATGCTGTCAAAAAATGATAAATAAGCAGTGTTTACTGACTGAAAAAAATTGTACTTTGCATTTTAATTGTAGATGTCAATGACAAAGTGCCTATTCATTTTTGCAAGGCATTTATTTCTTAATTAAACATGCGGCGAGCTGGCCAATGTTCATTTCCAATGTACTTTTTCAGATAATTCATATCTGTCAAAATAAAAAGGCATGGATTTATTCTTCTTTTAAGCCCCATTATCTAGTAGCTAGCATTATCTGGAGACAATATAGCCAAGTGGTTAAAAAGCATAGGCTTCGGAATAGGAGAGTCCTATATTTAAATCCTAGTACTTGCACTTTCTGGCTCTGTGGTCTAACTTCCCCCTTTCAAAGCCTGGTCCCCCTTGTGTAAAATGGGGATAACGATACTTCAGCATTACCAGGATTGTTGTGAGGATTCGAGCACACAGCAGCTGGTAGGTTCTAAGCTCCCGGCAGTAGTAACCATCCTCTGACTTCTTGCTGCAAACACGAGACTTTATTCAATGTTACTGAGCCTCTGTCCCCTCAGTGTGTCTGTCTTGTGGGCCATCGTTGGTACTCCTTTTCATGGTAGAGCTTTTTGGTTGCAAGCAAAGAAACCCATTCTCATTTAAATAAAAAAGGAACCAGAAGGATGTGGAATCTGGAAGCCCGTGGAATTAAAGGCACAGCTGACAACTGGGTTTGGGGAAGGACATCAGCCACAGGAACTGACATCAGAACCATCTCAGCAGACTACCCCCACTGGGATGGGTCAGCTCCGGTCATTTACTGTGCTCGCATTGGTCGCTTAAGGTTTAGGGCTCCATGGGTCTCATACCCTCACCTCAGGTGGATCAGCTGGGTAGCTTCATTGAGCATTTGACCAAACTTGCAATCACGGAGGAGGGGATTCGCCAGAGGGTGCTATCACCATTGAACAAGAGAATAGGTGCTATGTGGCAAAAGCTACAGATGTACATTACATGTGGGGAAGGGAAAGAGGCCAAGGAATTATTGCATAAAGGATAAAAGGGTAGTTATTTTAATGATGAGAAAGATGAAGCCTTTTTAGAGAGGAAATGTTTTATATCCTTGAAAAGAGCCGTGGAGTACTTTAGCAAAGACAACATGCTAAGTAGAATGTTATGACCCGAAAGGTAACAGTGCTTTTCTAGAATTCCTTGCTTGGGGCAGTTGTACAGGCGACTTGCCCCAGTAATAACCAGGGTTCTAGCTCAGAGGTAGAGTTCCAGGCAATCTTACTCTTCTTTTACTCCCCCTACCCTTTTGTTCCGTGCTGTAACACATATTACACAAAACATCGAGAAGCCGCACAACCCAAGGATGAGGCTTTGCTTTTATTCTTGATGACCTTGTCTTTGGCTGTTACTCAGTACAAACTTAAGACCTCATTATTGGATTAAAATTGAAGTTTTCAAAATCCGTTCAGGGCCACATGGCTGGCTCAGTCAGTTATCTGACTTTGGCTCAGGTCATGATCACACGGTTTGTGGGTTTGAGCCCCACGTTGGGCTTTATCCTGACCACTAGCCTGGAGCCTCCTTCAGATTCTGCATCTCCCTCTCTCTCTGACCCTCTCCTGCTCATGCTGTCTCTCTCTCTCTCTCTCAGAAATAAATAAAACATTAAAAAAAAAAAACTCGGTTCAAAGCTGCATATGAGTAACAGCTGAAGGTCTTAGGAAAAAGGCCTTCTTTGAGTCAAGGATACTTAACACTGCATTGACCTTTATCATTTGTACCACCTGAGCGTTGTCACCATGTGAGTTAATGAATGCTGTTGACATCCAGGGTCATGAATGATTTTGAAAATCAAGTTCTCTTTATAATGAGTTGAATTTTGTTGTTGTTTTCTTGCATTCTCTTGCCTCTTCTTTTCCCAAATGAAGATCATTCACGCTTTCGTACCTACTTTGGCTAGGTGAATGTTGTGATGATTCAGAATGATAAATATATAGTGATAGTAAGCAGAAATGCTAAAGGTGACAATGAAAATTTTGTAGACTGCTTCCTCAGTGCCTCCCGTGTGAAATGACAAGTCATAGAAATGAGACATTTTGAGTTTCTTTCTCTATGCGTCTCTTTTCGTAACCTCCCATCACCCTTGCCAAACACAGGCAAATACTGGGAGATCTCTAATAGGGGTCTGTGTTGCAGCCCCAGACTCTCACCTCTGCTCATCTTGAACAAAAGGAAAACCTTACACCTGTTGGGGCACAGGTCGAGGATGGGTATTTGTCAAATACTTATCTGCCTCCCAACATCCTGGCTGGTAAAGCTTACTTTTTGATAAGAGCATTTTATTCTTTTAATACAGAAGGGGGTTGTACCCGGGATCTAGAAATAATGTTTAGGTTTTTTTTTTTCTTCATTTACAGGTTCAGCCTAATTTCCTTCCAATGAAAGAGTGGGTTTCCATGGTGTCTGATACTCTCCTGGTCATCGTGGATAGCCATTACCAACCAAGAGGACAAATTTTCTCCTCGTTTTATTATGTAAGTCTAAGAATAAGAGAAATAATAATAAAAAAGAGATTGAAAAACTCAAGGGTTGTCTCCTGTTAGTTGTTCAGGTGAAAGCCGTGAAGTGGGGTAATTATTCTCAATCTTAGCTGTATGTTGGAATCACCTGGGGAACTTTTAAGTGTGTGTATTTTTGTATATATATGTGTATATATGTATACATATATACACACACTTAAAGTATATATATACACACTTTAAAAATACATATATTACATATATATACATATATATGTAAAATCTCTCTATATAGAAAAAATACTGAACTGTAGGTCTCTCCTCTAATTTAATTGCTTAGGGATGGGCCTTGGGCATTATTAGTCTTTTGAAAGGTCTCTAGATTATTCCCATGTGTAGTCAGAGTCAAGAGCTAAAGTTGTAGTGAAATAAACATTGGTTGAAGATTGCTGTCCCATGGGGCGCCTGGGTGGCTTAGTCGGTTAAGCGTCCGACTTTCGCTTAGGTCATGATCTCACGGTTCGTGGGTTCGAGCCCCGCGTCGGGCTCTGTGCTTACTGCCAGCTCAGAGCCTGGAGCCTATTTCAGAGTCTGTGTCTCCCTCTCTGTCTGACTCTCCCCTGCTCACGCTGTCTCTCTCTCTCTCAAATAAATAAAAATTTAAAAAAAAAAAAAAAAAGATTGCTGTCCCTGAGTGTCCATAGTTTCGTTTTGTTTTTTTAATGTTTATTTTTGAGAGAGGAAAAGAGACCGAGTGCAAGTGCAGTAGGGGCAGAGAGAGAGAGGGAGACACAGAATCTGAAGCAGGCTCGAGGCTCCAAGCTTTCAGCACAGAGTCCAATGAGGGACTCGAACCCACAAACCATGAGATCATGACCCGAGCCGAAGCCAGACATTCAACTGACTGAGCCACCCAGGCACCCCCAGTCAGTTTTTTTTTTAATTTCAGGATATGTGACCATGGGCAGTTCACATATTCTCTTTAGACCTTTGTTTCCTTGTGTATAAATGAGGCAATTAAACAATATTATCAGTAGTCATTTTAGCCCCAGCTGCCCCCCCTTACTAGTTCTGTGAAAGTTGACCTGATATTTCACCCACCATTTTGTTTTCCTTACCTGTAAAATGAAGGTAAAAATTAATGCTTTGCCAACTTTATAAAAGATAAGTGAGGATCAAATGATATCATTTGTAGGAAAATGTTTTGAAAACTGAAATACTCTTTACATCCAAAGTAATACTGTCATTGATCCTAAAAAAAGCACCTGTTACTTAAGCCACTCTTTTTCTTCATGCCAATATCCTAAGATTTTGAAATACACTGAAAACGCAACTTTTTTGTTGAGGTTTTCTTTTCCCTTCATTGGCTGTAGTGCATGCTTTATTTCTGGTATCTGCTTGGAATTATTCTGGTTCTACCTTATCCGTCTCCACTGCTTAGGGGATTATAGTGATCACGGGACAATGAGCTGAGAGGCGGAGGATTATAGTTGACTCGAATAAAAATATAGCACAGGTCGTGAACTGTTGCTCAGATCGTGAATTTAGCCTGAAATACCACTGCCTTAGGTCTTCCCTGTACACCATTCTGTGTTCCTCTGTGTCCTCCTCCTTTTGGGAGGACCTGGTATGTATGCATCTGGGGCTCAGGGTCTAGACCTAGAATTTTACACTGTACTTGGGGACCAAAAAAAAATGACTTCTAGATAATGTAGAATTAAATTGGAAAATAGATTTTACTCAAAGAAGTAACTTCTTTAGTATAGTTTGTTTTCTGTCAGAAGTGTTCTTATTCCTTTAGTGATGGATGAAAAACTGGTTATATAGAGGTCTTTGCAATAGCCGTCTGGGTCCGATACTCACCGGGACAGGATATTCTATGTGACTTCTAATAACGCTGCTTAGTTCTTGCAAACCAATAAAAATAATCTCTAGTCACCAGCTGAGGGTTGCCTCTTACCTTTGTGATTTTTGCGTTATTGTACTTCTTCAAAGCCCTGATTCAAAAGTCACTCTTTCTATTTTCAGTGTTCTAGCAGCTGGGTCATTTTGAATAATATTGTCATTACAATAGTACCATGCTCGCTGAAAGAATACCTTAGCACATGTTTGATTGTTAGCCTTAAAAAGTGCTAAAGCTTAGAGAGCAAATGGGTACAGAATTAAGAACACTTTTTAACATGCTTGACTGCAAGGGACGGCACGGCCTTTATGGTGTGTCTGAAAAGTTGAAGTGGATAATAGTGCAGAGTGACAAATGGGCTTTCTTTGCCACTTGAGACATATTTATAAATGCATATAACGTCTGTTGGAGCTCCCTAACACGGGATTCTTGTTCATATTCAGCTGCCTTGTCATTTTTTTAGCACTGTTATTCATCTCTTTTCCACATAATTACATATAGGAAGGCGCGTATAGAGCTCGCCATTTCATTTTGAATAGCTGGTTATTGCTTTGTAACCAGAGGCTTTTAGGATTTCAACTTCCTTTTTAATTAAAAGGAATTAACCCCCTGTAGGAAATAATCCATCTACTGGGAAGCGTTCCCACCAAAAATTTTGGGAGATCTGCCAATAGATCCCTGTGCTAAACTTACACTTACTCCTTCAGACTAAACTTCAACCACTCCTGCCCCTGCCTGCAGTGCTTGCGCACGCGCACACACACACTTTCTTTCTCTCCTAGAAAACTGGCTTTCTACACACTTATAATGTGGCTTGGTGGTTTCTCCAAGCTTGGGTAACTTCACTCTGGGTTCTTTATTATATACACATGTGGGCTTTCAAAACCATGAAATGTTTTCAGGCTTTATAAGTGAGGGAATTCACACCTTTTAAAAGAAGACACTTAAGATTGTTGGGTTTTTTTTTTTTTTTTCAAACTTAAAAGGATATTGTTAATCAGCTGATTGTTCGGTGGAAAATTGTTTCAGTAAGGAAGAGCAGCAAGGTAACCTATAGAGAAGCCCAGAAATAGATTTTTTTAAATTATAGTTTTCATTGGCAGGCGTGGATCTAAGAGAAGCATATATTGTTATGTATTGTGCTTTTGTGATAGGTATGCTTCCTTCATGTTTTGAACGAAAGGCCAACCCCCTGTTTTCTTTCTTTGGTGTATCCTAGAAATCCTATTCTGGTGAAAACACAGCCAGTGCCATTGCCCGCTCTGCTGCTGCCACAGCTTTGTCTCTCCTCGTGCAAGTTTTCATTATCTCTTGCAAAGAGAAGGTTGAGGAAATCCTAAACATGCTGACTGCCAGGTTACCTGGGAAACCGAGAGCCGATGAGTCTCAAGCCGTGCAAATCCACATGGGCCTCGCTTTGGGGATGTTTCTCTCTCGCTTGTGTGAGGAGAAACTCAGGTACAGTTCATTAAAATGTTCGTCCTTTTCCTCTTTGTGATGTGGGCAGAGATGTGGTCCACGTGCACGCGCGTCCATGCACCTGCGCTCCGAGCAGCGTGTGGCCGCTAAACTTTTCGAAATGGGCAAGTTGATCCTTTCTTCTCCTTTGTGAGTGAACCTGTCTTTCCACAATGCCATCACGAAGATATTCATGTATTTTCAGGGTTGCTCCTTAAAATGATGATTGCTTGAAAATCACACCATCCTTAGATGAAAGCCCAGGATACATCTGTGTCATAGATAGGAGGAAAGGTGTAATCTTATAGTGCTAAAAAATAAAAGAGCTTCTTTTTCTCCTGGTTTGTGAGAGTGAAAATAATTGCTGATCCTTTATTGGTATCAGGGTAAAATGGGAGACAAAGATTGGAGTATCCCTTATGCCTGAGGTGCTGGGAATTACCTGAATCACCTGAGAACCGCATGTACCCAGTTTTAAATATTGCTTTTATCCTGTGCCCTGGCTACATTTTTATAATCCTTAAAGAGTCTTAATCTGTGCATATTATACTGCGTGCTTTATTCAGTTTGGTCACTCTTGGACTGCTGGCTTTATCCTTGAACGGAGCTAACAGAATAGCAAAGACCCAGGTGGAAAATTCCACTAGATGGAAAAGTTTTCTTGTGCATAAATCTACTTTGATTGTGTTGTTCATTATATTTCTTCTTTATTTTATAACAAATCTTAGAATTTTATACATCCAGATTGATTGTAGTGTGGTACAACATGAATATTTGAATATCATGAATATTTAGATATCACTGACTTGGATTCAGCCCCATTTTCCTGCACTGGAAATAGGATAGTCGGGAGAGGCATCCTGTTGTGATGTTCCATGTCCTTAAACTTCCCTGGTTGGCAGAAATTAACGGTCTGCCCAAAGCCAAGAAACCATGTCGATGTGGGTAAGCTGGATGGCATTATGCTATATTTAGATTTCAGTTCGAAACCAGTGGTTAAGTTTGCATTTGTAATTTACATAGCTTTGTGCAAACACCATTATGTGAAACCTTGGAGAACTGCTATTGATCTAGGGAAATACTAGATTTCAGTTGATCATTTTCAGCTCTTAGAAACATCTGTCAGACGATTGGGAAGATTGGCTTAGTCTTTGTGATCATAAACGAAACGTTTCTAGATTGTTCATTTTGTTCTGTTCACCAGCATTAGTATTTACAGGCCTGGTTCTGGCCATGAACAAAAAGCTGCCCTTTGCATGTGCATTGACGGTTACATATCTTCTGTGTGTGAACAGAACACAACATATTTTTTAAAGGCTTAAAACTCCAAAGTGATTTTTTTTCCCTTTGCTGCGATGCTACAAATGGCAGTTTCTTCACCATCTGTGTTCATGCTCTTTCTTCAGTATCTTTCAAGCAACATGTTTTACAACTAAAAATGAGCCATGGCAGTTTAATTCCAGGCAACTCATTTCATCCCGTCCTGGCTCTGGCTCCTTTCTTCATTAGTTTAGGATGAGATGCTGCTGGTTTTCGGGCTTGACAAGCTTGCACGTGTGGTTAATTTAATCATGCTACCTGGGAGAAACCTGAAGGGTTCATCCCCGTTCCTAGATTGCCTTCCTCCCGTCTCACTTGGCTTTGCATTTGCAGGAGAGCCTGGGGAAGGACACCAGGAAGCTCTTTCCAAGGCCAAACGCCCTCAGACTAAGGGCACATTTTCACTTTGCTCTGATAATCTGTTTGGAGAGCATCCTTCATTCCTTTGGTCAATGTGCTCCTACTGTAGCCAGTACTATCGTTATTCATGATTCCCACCTTCCTAATTTTTCGGAGCAGAGAAGCCTGAAATATTTACTTTGGATGCTAATAAATATTTTCCTAGATAATGACAGTGTCCACCATATAATGATATTTTTGGAGAAAGTTTCCATTTTTCTGAAATTAAGGTAAGCAGGTTGAGAGGGCCGTTGACCCTGAATAGTCAGCAACATCAAATAAGTGCAGAATGACCCCTCAGGGGAACAGGAGTAGGGCAGTATGTTGGTCCCAAGTGTGAAAAATCACCTTGTAGAAGAGAATCATGACAATCCATTTTTAGCTAAGGCTTATGAAAAAGTTGCCTGAGTTTAAATTCCAGCCTAGTATTTATTCAGAAAAGCATATTATTCCAAAGTTTGCTCCCAGAAGATACCAGTAGGATCTCTTTAGCATTTATTTAGGATAGCTAAGTATATTTTACTCCAGAGAACAACTGTAATAGGACTTATTTAGTCCAAGCCATTAAAACTCTGTGTGTGTGCACACACGCGCACACACGTGCATGTTCTCACTGCAAAATGCAGTCCGTCACCTCAGGCAAAACTACTATATTTTTGGGTTTGAGAAGACCTTATTTAAATATTTGAAGTGCTCTCTGGCTGGTTGGCATTCCTGGGGCTGCATTCCACTTAGCATGGTCCAAGACGGCCACAGGAGAGGTGACGTGTTAGAAACCCCTTGATAAAAAAAAGTGTTGGTGGGGTGCCTGGGTGGCTCAGTCGGTTAAGCGTCCGACTTCGGCTCAAGTCATGATCTCACAGTTCGTGGGTTTGAGCCCCGCGTAAGGCTCTGTGCTGACAGCCAGCTCAGAGCCTGGGGCCTGCTTCAGATTCTGTCTCCCTCTCTCTCTGACCCTCCCCTGCTCGTGCTGTCTCTCTCTCTATCAGAAATAAATAAATCATTAAAAAAAAATTTTTTTTAAAGTGTTGGTGATGCAGCCCACAGCTCTGCCTTAGAAAACAGCCATAGAACCACCTTGTAAGTTTTGTTTTACTCCAGAAGTCGTAGTCCTCACCAAGACCATTGCAAAACCACATCAGTTACTGTATAAAGGCAGAAAAATAGACAACTGGGGTTCCCACCCCCCCCTTTGAAAAAAGAAGTAGAGCTTAACAGCCTCCACAATTGAGACATGAAATCGAAAGTGACAGTCTTCGCAAGAAAGAGATTTGGATGATTACTGATACTATCAGCTTAGTGGGTTGTTAAATATTCCGAAGAAAATCACGTTAGCCTTCTTTAAAAAATGTTTTTGGAATTCCAATTTTGGTTTTCGTTTTTCAGGGATTTAAAATGTGAATGGGCTGAGGAAATACAAAAGTAGTCGTTTATGAGTTTAGCGGTTTACAAGTGATTATACTGTATAGAAACTCAAATTCTCTCAGTTTCTCTGTTTGCAAAATAAGTATATGCGAATTCATCAATATTGTTACTTTCCTTTTTTTTCTTAGCAAAGTGTATTTTCACTAAAATATTAAGAGGAAAATATTAAATAGTACTTTGGACATTGAATTATCTTTAGTAATTCCATGTTTCCTCTTGCTTTGCCTAGTGATATATCTGGCCAACAGATGAACCTTCTTCTGATGAAGTCTTTGGATGCCCTGGAAAATTGCTGCTTTGATGCTAGTCTTGAATATAAGTATGTTGATTCCGTTTCCTCTCTGATACTTAGACGTTGAATCTTCCTCCACCCTGAAGTTTGCATTATATCATGAAATGTTCGTAGGATTTGATCTAGAATTCCTTTGCAAAGAGTTTTTCAGTCGTTATCAAAAACCTGTAATTACAGCTTACTTGTTCTAGAAACCATGTTTCAGCAATAGTTTGCTTCAATACAAAGCAATGCATGTTACTTCACGACTGTCATTAAGTTACTAATACCTTAGTTCTGTCTTGTCCTTATATGAAGCATGTATCTGGAGACTTCTGTGCGTGACTTAACCTTTTTATATGGTTGAAATTTGACTGGCAATTTGAATAGTTGAATTTGATTGGATGAAGTGTGCCTTTGACCCATGATTTAGATTTCCCTTGTGAAATCCAGTGACTGAGAATCAAAATGGAAGCAAATATAGGTTACATCAGAGGTTCCCAGCCTCCTCAGTGTTAATAGGCCCTCTTTGTCTCGCCCCAGACCTCATGGCTTCTTAAAGATTTTGTCTATTAAATATCTGAAAATTTATTGTCCCAGTTGTGAAAGGTAACCAAGATCAAAAAGGAATGTTTAGAAAAGAATACTCTTGTGCCTGGCTGGCTCAGTCGGTAGAGTAGGCAATGGGGTTGTGAGTTCGAGCCCCGTGTTGAGTGTAGAGATTACGTAAAAATAAAATCCTTCAAAAAAAAAAAATACCTCAAAAAACAGCATTAAACGTATTCATTGAGTGAGATATTTAATGCTTTCATTGGTCTGTGTGATTGCGTGGGAGAATGTACAGTTTTAATAGGCTTTCTGAAATATCGACATACTTAAGGACCTGCATTGTATCTTTTTGGACTTCTACATGTTTTGCAGCCTCAGGTTTAGATCCTCTGGGGTTCATTGTTATTTTTAAAAAGTCAACAAATTGTAAGCGCTAACCTCCAGTGTATTAACTCATTTGCTTTTTGCTGTTATGGGCACTGTTTAGATATGAGTGTTAACATTTGTGGCCTTTAGGAACTTAAGATCTGAAGTTATATTAGTATCATCTAGCCTGCTAAAATAAGTTCAGACTAACAAAAGAGTAAATGGTAGAAGTAACTGCATGTATTGTATATTTCATTATGAGTAGAACATAAGAATCGTTGACACCCACCCAATTTATCATGAAACACGTTAGAGATGAAATGAGATGTTTTAAGAGTGTGGCTTTGAATATGGGAAAAGAGAGTTTGGTAGCATGATTAAAGTCTCTTGAATGTAGAAGATGATTAAGTGAAGAAATGGGGCCATTTAACTGTTACTGGGTCTGATGAAGAATTGGTATTTTTGAGCCCAATCCATGTATTGGTGGTGGTGCCTTTTGCAACCAAGGAGTAAGATAAATTTCTCGCCCCCTCCAAACTCCCCCTGGCCCTCCCTTCCCCCACAGGTATTCATCATAGCTATAGCTCAGGGTATTATAAAGTTGGGAACAGATTTGTGGATTAACATGGTGCAGGCTTCCAGCCAGCTGGAACAATCAGACACGACTTTCATATGTTACCTCCACTAGTCTACGGGAAGTTTGAATGCGAGGGGAGCCATAGAGATAACTGAGTAGTCTACAGTGTGGGTATTTGTGCTTATAAAAAACCTCCTATGTCTAAGTATATTTAATTTTAAAGTTAACTTTTTATATTAATAAGATTCTTATTTCATTCTTTTTTCTTGATTCTTACCTCCTTAATGATTCACCGTGTTTGGGAGAAGAAAGGATGGGCCTAGATAGGGACTTGTCCTGCAGAATTAAGTCAAATAGGGCCATCACAAGTTTCCTGTCCTTGAGTGAAGTCTTGCTTATTTTTCAGAGACCTCAATTAAAAGCCCAGATCCTTCAAGAACCTCTCCCCCTATCTTCTCCAGGCTCCTGTTATTCCTGCAGTCAGTGAAGTTTAGTATTTTGTCATTCCTAATGCTTTGTGGCTGTTAGTGCTTAGGTAGTTCTATGTCTGGTTTCAAGTTCAACTAATACCAAGCATACTGTGCTAGGCATTTTCACATCCGTTTCTCCTGTAATGCAGCCCCACTGACCATCTAAATATTGATACTAAAACAGGAATACTCATCACTTCGGTTTATAGATTAAGAAAATGAGTCTCAAGTAGGAGACTGGTTCGAGGTCACACAGTAATTAGTAGAGCTGGGGGAGAAGCCTATAGGTTGTCTGACTTTAAAGCCATTTTTCTATCTTGCATAGTTTCATATGGAGAACACAGTTCAGTAGAAAGAAAGCAATTTGACACCTGACAGTATGGTATTTACTATTTTTTTTTTTAACACATGGGCGTGTCTCACTATTTAAAAAAGAGAGAGAGAGATTCTAACTAGGACCCGGCATAAAGTAGTCCCCTGTCTAATGAGATTTAGGAGCCTAGGACGGTCCTCCCTCAAGTGAAATAGTGGAAGCATTACCGGGAGGTAGTTAATAGATCTGGGAGCGTGCTACCTCAAGTGATAGAATTCACCCAGAGCAAATTCACCACGCTTGCTTGATTTAATGGACACGTCCCTGCTGAGAGAATCCTGCACCTGGGCTGGTCGGTGTTTGTGGCCCAATCACTTACATTTTGCTGCCATCTAGTGGTAATTATTGTGCCATTGCAAGCCTCACAGCCTTAACTAGTCATTCCATCCATCAATGACCTGCATTCGTTAATTACTATTGAGCTTTTACAAATACGATAACATTTATATAGTGCTTTGTAAAGGGCAAAGCGCTATACAAATGTTAACTGTTATTAGAACTAATTATTAGATGGCCTCGTATTCAGTCTGCAGGATTGCCCACGATAACATAAGGAATTGAAGATTCATCTGGTTAATCTTAGGAAAAAATGTGTCATTATAATCATTATATCTCATTTGGTACAGCAACACACATGAAAGAATTGCACAGCTTTGAAGTCGTAGATTTTCCTTTTGCCAGTTTTATTTTAATATGCTTGAATAAGAGGTTCAAAGAAGTAAGGACATAATAGGGCATATAGTTTTAGAACTTAAATTCTCTTTATCATCTGTTAGTATTCTTAGAGATTCATATTATTAATTCCCAAGCCTGAAATTAATACCTGATATTATAATTTGTTTTTATTTCATCTGCCCAAGGCACCACCATGGAACTCCTTTTTGTTTTCATTAGAGAGACAGATGTGAAAGCTACCTCTGCCCAAGTTATTCTTGGTTTAGAGCTGGCAAACATATCAAAGGAAAGCTAAAATGAGGTAAATGTGTAGAAATGCTGACCTCAGCACCTCAAAGAATCCTTAAGACTTAGGGCAAAAAATAAGCTCCTTAAAATATAGCTAATTTACAAATCAGAAGAAAATACCAAGAGTGACACTTTAGGGCTGCCTTCTTGGTGCGTGCTGGAAAAACGAGACAGAGTAGAAGGAGTTTAGGAGGTCAGTACATGCATATACTCTAGCATGTTTATGTTGGCACACTGATGCACAATTAGATTATGTATTCACATATGATAACAGTCATCTACCACTGGAACAATGAATAGAATCATTAATGGTAACCTTGCCCAAGAATAATTATGCTGTGATAATATTTAGGTAAATGTGAACTAGAAACCGAGATGTCTTTGTCTAAGCCTTTGTGCTCGTATGTATGCCTTGGGATAAAGACAAGATTCAGTCCAGAGGATAAAGGTTTTTGGCATGCTCAGAAGAACCAAAAAGCAAGACTTAGATTCCTGCTACTTATTTTTTTTAAAAATTTTTTCAATGTTTATTTATTTTTGAGAGAGACAGAGTGTGAGCTGGGGAGGAGCAGAGAGAGGGAGACACAGAATCCGAAGCAGGCTCCGGCTCTGAGCTCTCCACACAGAGTCTGATGCAGGGGCCGACTGAAGTCGGCCGCTTAACCGACTGAGCCACCCAAGCACCCCAATACCTACTACTTGAACCCTGATACCTAAGTGAGCTTTGAGAGCTGTCCTATTCCAGCATGATTCTGACACTCCTCTTTCTTAAATTAGCCTGGCAAGAAATGGAAATTGAGTTCCCTCGATTGAATCTTGGGTAATATATTCCGTGTATTTTAGCACTCGTAAATTTCGCCTCCAACTAAATCTAAGAATCAAATCTTGTTTTTGTTGTTGTCCTTGAGATCTTCCCTCCACTTCAGACTCTCTCAGAACCCTGCCTTGGGTCAGTTCTTCAGCATTCGATAAATATTGGGTGACCACCTATCCCCGTCAAAGCAGAATCCTAAGTGCCCTACATACTGTGGTGAGGGGAAATCAGAAAATGTACACACCCACGTGGAGCCTGTCGGCTAGTGGGATATGGACAGAAATCCAACAGCCCTTCCAGTAATCCTCATCAGAACTTATAATTGAGACTGTCCAAAGTAAATTAGTATAGTATGTTATGGGAGAGTACTAAAGAGGCTCCCTGCTAAGCCAGGGAAGGTGTCCCTAGGATTTGAAATCTTAAGCGAAAGTAGCAGTTAAACAGTCAAGAGGGAGCAAAATTCAAATTTATCAAAATATTAATCACATTAAAAAATTGTTTTTGATGTTTATTTATTTTTGAGGAGAGAGATACAGAGCACAAGCAGGGGAGGGGCAGGGAGAGGGAGACACAGAATCGGAAGCACGCTCCAGGCTCTGAGCTGTCAGCACAGAGCCAATGGGGGGCTCGAACCCACAAACCGTGAGATCATGACCTGAGCCAAAGTCGGATGCTTAACCGACTGAGCCACCCAGGTGCCCCTTAATCTCATTTTGTCTAACTCCATCTTTAGTTCTAATTCTGTCAAATTTTTGTCTGCATCAGTATAGAAAGACAGCCAAAAAACAAAACAAAAAAAACTTCCCTGTAGATCCTAAGTGGAAATGAAGACTATAAATCCATACTAATGAAGAGTGCCTTTCCTCCTCCAGAAACATGGTATGTCTCAAAAGCACACAGTATTCGGATGTTAGATGCTGATTTAACTGGTTGGCAATGCATTATACGAGTTGAGCTGGTTGTTAGGTTCATGTAAGCTGTAACAGCACTTCTGCCTGAGTAATGATGGATTATAACTGCAGTAGCTTCTTTACAAAGGATTTCCTAATGCCAGATAGTTATGCAATGGAATCTAGAATAACATGCTCTAGATATGGTGCCTTCTCATAGGATTTCATCAAGGCATCATCGGGGGGGGGGGGGCACGGCGGAGTGCTGAGGGGGACCTGGGGTTTGGCAGATGGAACAGAAGGCTGGGAATCCAAAACCTCTGTATCCTGGCTGTCATCTGCTGGAAACTTTCCATATGACCTTGAACAAATCCTGTAGTCTCTCTGTCCTTTTGGGCATCTTTTTATTAGATATGAATGCTTCCTTTGCTAGAGGGGTTTGGGAGAAGTAACTAACATGAGCAGGAAGCAACGTGAACTTTCTCAACAACAGCCGAGAAAATAGTTCCTATATAGGAGCAAAATGACCCAGCATACGGGCATGGAAACATGTTATTGGAGAAATACCCTGGAATGTCGTCCTAAGATATTGCGGGAGGCAAGCCAAACCAGAGTCGGGATGGTTTCTGTAAAACTCAGCATTTCCCCAGTTCAAAACACAACAATGATGACAAAAACTGTTTTTTAGGTTTTTTTTTCTTTTTTAAGTAGAAAATTACCCTCCAGCTGCATTATCTTATCATCCCAACTAGAAGTTGTCTGGGAGAACAGTTTTTTGGTTTTTTTTTAAATGGATATGTTTTCTTTCACGAGGACGGGGGCACAAAGCCCAAGATTCCAATTGAACTGTCACATGGGGTAACTTTTGACAAGCCTGTCATGTGTCCGTTTTCTCTTCTGACCCAGTGGTACTCCGAGGGATCAGAGGGGAGAAGAGGATTAATGTCATTGCGCACAGACAAATACATAGTTTAAGAACGAAATCCCACCTGGGGAAGTTGACCAGGAAACAGGAAGCACTTAGCCGTCCCTCATCTTCATGCCTTGCAATGTGTCCCCCCGTTATCAGATGTCCTCAGCTCGAATCCTGAAATGGAGTCTTCTCTCCCATTCAGCTAATCCCCATGCCCTCAACATGCAGACATCGAGGGAGGGCGCAGAGGACTGAGGCATTTCTCTAAGAGGAGAGCTGCTTTGACTTGACTTTTTATTCACCTTCCTACCTCACCATAGAATTTAAGTCAAAACTATTTCATAGTTTCCTTTGTTCTTCCCCAGTGGGTACATTGCACTAACGTGGACCACAGACGCTTGTTTAGATATAAAGTTTTCCTTTTAAGGGGAGCAGTGGGTGCACTTCTCGTGGTTCATGGGGCGCACTTACATCCCGGGCAGCAGATCTAGAAGCCAGCCATCTCACCTCAGGCTGAAGACTAGTATAAACTCTCATGATAAGGGAAGAGCAGTGATGTGGCTTTCTGGTGATTTTAACACATTTTTTGTTTTGGGGGGGTTTTGTTTTTTTGTTTCTGCATCAAAGCACGGGCTGTATATTGGGAGTTGGACTGGTTCTGTCCCTCATGAGCCACAGCAGCCGAATGGAGTCTCGAGTTCACGTGGCAGCATCACTTCGGAAGCTCTCTACCTACCTAGATGACAGTGGGAGCCAAAGCAGAACATTTCAGGAGGTAGGAGCCGGAGGTGACGGATTTCTTCCCATTGTTGTCTTTTGTTTTCCTGTGGCTGCTTATTTCCTACTTCTCATGTTTTGGTAACCCTGAAATTAAATTCTTTCTCAGTTTCAGGCCAGGATAAGGAGAAAACTCTTGAGTGGCAAACAACCTATGTTAGATCATAAGGTTTTCAAATTGTGCAGCTGTTCAAATCAACTTGGACTTAAATGTGGCATATAAGATAAGAGCCTTTAGTAAATGCAAAAGCCTAAGTCGGCATCGCCAGAAGGCACTTTTCTAAGAAGAGCTGCGATTTCCGCAGGAAGGTTAAATGGAGATTTTGAGAATTATGCTCCAGCCAAATGTAACTTTAAAAGATGGCCCGGAACAAGCCTAACAAACTGCGGAGCGAAAAGGCATTTGATTTTTTTTTCCCCTTTCTTAATGTCAGCTAGCATGAAAAATCATTGAGGAAATTCCCTTTACCACACTTAATGAAAAGATTTTTCTGTTACGGCGCAAAACTACTCCCCATCGCAGTCCGTGTGACGCAGTTTGTGTGTGTCAACCGTGTCCTGAGCAAACGTCCCAGGCGTGTGTCTCTGTGCCCAGGTGAAGCCAAGCCGCCTTGTGCTCTTCTTTGGGAGGACCTAGGGACTACCTTTTGGCCTGGCCAGATTCTCTGTCTCATTAGAGCAGATTCTATTTTCTCCGGGCCTGCCCGTGAGCTATTGATGAGTTACATAATGGTTGCTGTGTTTCCCTGCCCGGTTCCTCCGCTTTCACCAATAGGACTTGTTGAATTGGTGAATTTCTTTGGGGCACCGAGGGTTGAAGTTTTGTTCTAATACAGGCACCACATTTCCATTTTTAAAGCAGTGGCAGAACACAGTTTAAAAGTACTTTTTTTTTTTTTTTTTAAGCCAAAGGAGAAAATTTTGCCACCAAAGGGCCATGTGATTAGTGAATGAAAGCAGGGTTTTTCCAGCCGGTGCATTGGTCTGCCTTGATGTTTTGATTCATAAGGCCTTGAGCAGGCAATTTTGTTTTTCCCCACGTCTGATGTTCTACTACCCAATTTCTATCTTAGAAACTGTTTCCTTTTTTCATGCTGAATCGACCACGGTTAGGAGTTGAAACTTTCCGCTTTGCCTTAACGGCACCTTTGTAAAGGAGGGCTCATGAGGGAAGTGGGAGGCAGTGGGAGGGGATGATTAACCGTGATTTGCAAAATTTGAGGCTCACATAGATTGAGTGACTCACCCCAAGTTACTTAGATCTGGGGATGGTCCACTGGGGACTAGGGACAAACACCCAAGTGGGCGGTCCCGACTCCCAGCATTGTCTTTTACTTACAGTTTATTCATGTGTTCATTTATTTATCTATTCATTTATTTATTAAGCTCGCCACTGCTCTGCGGGAAGTAGTATTACCTCTATTTTACACAATTTATGTAACTCTAAAACCCACGTGCCTGGTCCCTCCTCCTAAAAGGGAATCTTAATGCAGCAGAGTTCTACTTCTTTGGATTTCCTCTCCTGCTGGGCCTCGGATCAGCGCACCTGGCCATTAGTAGCCTTTACTGGTGATGAAAGTCTGCCTTTCCTGTTGATTCACGCGGTGTCCTCCCATGAGATCGTGAAAGAACTTTTTGAGTCTAAAGACCTGGGTTTGAATCTCGCCTCTGTCACTTGCAAGCGCTGTGTAGTTGAGCCTCAAAGTCCATACCCGTGAAGCAGGAACCACGACACCTGTCTCCTAACATTGTTGGGACACGTGAGTTAGGCAGCGGAACAGTGCCCGGTCCATGGTAGGTGTTCTTGAATTCAGTCCTCATCCCCAGGGGAAGTTTGACAGAACATCGGTGTCGACAAAATTGAGTTCTTCTATTTGCACTCATGAAGAAACATTTTCTGCTTTCTTTCCTTCTAGGTCCTTGCCTATACCCTTAGCTGTGTATGTACATCAGCATTCAGTGCCGGAATCATTGAGGCGACAGAGGCTGAGGATATCATGAACAAACTTCAGCTGTTGGTAGAAAACAACCAACAGGTTGGATTATAACTCTCTTTGGGTGCCTTGTTGCTGCTGAGTCCTAAGTTTGACTGACGTGGAATTTAGACTCTAATGGGGCTTTTTTTGTGTGTCCAGAACTGAAGAACTTCTAACTCTTCTCTCTTCTCACTGGTATAACCAACAGTCAGAGATGTCTTTTCTTCTCCGCTTATGCTCTGTGTTCTTTGGGTACTTCTTTTTCTTTGTCTGAGAGAGTATGAAAGACTTTCCTCTCTCCCCACATACTGCTCTATATTTATAAAATCTTAAAACGTGTGGCTAGCGGAATATAAGGCTAGCGATAACAATTTGTAAATATACAAATACATAGAGGACTCTGATAAGGTGAAACTATAGCAAATTCAAAGCAGAGAACCCCTGCTCGTGAATGAATATGCGCGTGACAATTTAAATACCTGCACATACATTAAAGGGGCGCCTGGGTGGCTCAGTCAGTTGAGCGTCCAACTTCAGCTCAGGTCACGCTCTCGTTGTCTGTGGGTTCAAGCCCAACGTTAGACTGTGCTGACAGCTCAAATTCTGGAGCCTGCTTTGGATCCTCTGTCTTCCTCTCTCTCTCTGTCCCTGCTCCACTTGTGCTCGCTCTCTCTCAAAAACAAACATTAAAAAATAAATAAACAAACCTGCAAATTAAATTAAATACCCTTAAAATGTTTCCTCTGAAATATTATTCAGACTTAAAAAGGAAGTAGATTCAAACACATGCTGCAGTGTGGTGGATCTTGAGGACATTACATTGAGTGAAACAGGCCAATCACAAAAAGACAAATACTGTATGATTCTACTTATATGAACGAGATACTTTGAGTAGTTAAAAGCCTAGAGACAGAACGGGAAAGCATAGAGACACAAAGAAGAAAGCTAGGCACCAGGGGCTTCCAGAGGAAGAATGGGGAGTTCTTGTTTAAGGGAAATAATGTTTGAGTTTGCAAGATGAAAGAGTTCCGGCGGTGAATCGTGGCAATGGTGGCACAATCGTGTGAAAATTCTTAGTGCCACTGAACTCACACTGGAAAATGGTTAAGATGGTAAATTTTTCTGTTATGTGTATTGTCATTTGTGTATGAGACAATTAAACTGAAAAAAAAAATGGTCCTTCTGATTACACATTATAAAATTTCCCCATTTCGATTTTTGTAGGTTTCCCAAAGTCTCGATTTTGGCTATAGTGGATTATTGCGGGATTTGCTGGTTATTAGCTAATATCGCATTGTTACTATTTTACGGTTGTGTGACTGCACACTTAAATTTGGGATAGGTCTTGCAACACCAAAATGTGGAGCTTTGCATATGCTGTACTCACTGTGGGACTTTTCTCTCCTCTTGTTTTGGAGTTGACTTGGCTTGCATGACCTACCTTGGTATTTTCACCCTAATTCCTTCTGAAAATTTGGATCATTCACATCAAGTCTTGTAACAGTCCGGTATTATATTCCTAAAAGAAACCATTCACTGCAGCTGAATTCCCTACAGTGAGACTGCAGTTTCTGGTGCAAACCAAAGTCTTGCTTTAAGAAATAGGCAAACCTCTGATTTTCAGATGACAGAAGAAGGTGTCAGGAGGAAAGGGAGCCTAGGAGGAAAGGGAGCCTAGAAGTCCTTGGCTGCTGTCTGTCAGGTTCCTGATCCATCCCATTCTTCTTCTGGCTCCTTACCCTTTGTTTTCTCTTGCTTCTGCAGACTTCAGGTTTTGCCCTGGCGTTAGGAAACCTAGTTCATGGATTGTCCGTGTGTGGACACGGAAAAGCGGAGGACTTGGGCCACAGGCTGCTCCCTGCCTGGATCCGAATTGTTCTAACCGAGGTAGGAGGTCACGCCCTGCATGTTATTTTATATTTTTATAAAGGAAAAAGAGCTATTTTATTGGACCATTTATAGGTGCTGCTGAGATACACAGCCTAACAGTAAAAGAATAGACAATTTCAAACAAAAGAGATGCAGGAACTTTTAATCCCTTGTAAATGATAGAGCTTGTCAACTATTATAGCTTTTTTTTTTTTGATAGAGCCTGTCAACTATTACAGCTTTTTTTTTTTTTTAAAGAGGCTACTTTCTCAGTGTGTTCTTTTTAAAGCTGCACTGAGGTTTTCAAAAATACAAAACAACAAGAAGCCACCTGTGATCTAATGACTTTAACCTATTACTTTAACCTATTACTTTATTCAAGTCTGCTGCCGTTTTTGGTTCAGTGACACAGGTTATGTTGACCCTACAAATTTAGTACCGTTTTGACCTATCTTTCTCTGTGATAGAATAGGTTTTTGAGAATTCAAACCCAAGGACTGTTTGCCTCTTGACATATCCGACGCTTTATTTTCAGGGCACTCCGACAATGCTCTGTCTGGCAGCGCTACATGGCATGGTGGCCTTGGTGGGCTCCGAGGGGGATGTGATGCAGGTAAGAACAACAGAAGAAGGGGAGAAATCTGAATGAGTACGTAGCCACAGCAGGAGGAGAATACCCAGTGTGTCAGGATGCTCAGGATGCTCAGGACAGAATACATGGTCACAGTAATGGTTCTACTGGGCTTTTCAGTGCCTTGATTGATAGAAAATTGCTCTCAGTTAAGAATTCGTCGTTAGAGATGTGATCCTTATTTTATCTGGTTTGTAGGAATTAAACTTAGCTTCTGCACTTTCCACAAAGTTGCCTGCTCGAGAAGCTCAAGAAAAGTGACTGGATAGTAAGAGATTTCAAGTCGCCCATAAGAAACTCCATTTTGTATCTGTGATGTTTAAGTTAATATCTAGTTTATTATGTCCACAGAGGACATATGTGTGTTTCAGTTGATAAGTAATTCTAAGGAGCACCCGTGTTCATACAGAAAAGATGCGTTAAGTGAGTGCTCCTGGGGACATGGAACCGGTTCCGGGAAATTGATGATGAATACAGCTTGGGCCCCGCCCTCAAGGAGCCGGCAGCTTTTGGTTTTGAAATGTAAAGACATAATGGTAAATTATACCATAGCTTAGAAGATGATAGCTCATACACTGGGAATACCATTAGTTACTTTTTGGGAAACACTGGATGGATGTTTCCTCTTTTTCTTTCAGTTGAAGTCCGAAGCCATCCAGACCTCTCATTTTCAAGCCAGACTTAATGAAGTCATTAAAACTGTAACTCAGGTGAGAAGAGGGATTTAAAATCCTTAGATGGGAAAATAGGTACTCCCTCGTATTGCCTCTCTCTTTGACAATACAAACTGTTTTGCTTGAGAACCGGGGAGATCTCTGGCCATTCATGTTGAGTCCATGCAGCACTCAAGAGTGGCTTACGCCCCTGCATTTGCTGACAAACACCCACTGCCCCTGGGAAAAAGCTGGCATGTTTGAGCTAACTTAAGTTGGCATTGGTTTCCTTTAAAAATTTGAAATCTGACCCTGCAAGGAATGTTAGGCCCTCAGGACAAGGTAAAATGGGTGGTGATCAAAGGACAGGGCCCATATCGAAGTAGAATGGTCACGAGTCGCGGCTAATTCAGATGTCACTGATAAAAGTATTTGGGTAAATCATTGTCAGCATTCTTGCCTGGAGAGAGTCTGTCTGCTGAGAAATGATTTCATAGTTTAAGATTTTTACTTTAAAAATTTTATTAATTTCAGGGCGCCTGGGTGGCTCTGTCGGTTAAGTGTCCGACTCCAGCTCAGGTCATGATCTCACGGTTCTTGCGTTCAACTCCCGTTTTGGGCTCTGTGCTGACAGCTTGGAGCCTGAAGCCTGCTTTGGGTCTGTGTCTCCATCTCTCTCTGTTCCTCCCCAACTCGTACACACTCTTTCTCTCTTTCTCTCAAAACTAAACATTAAAACAATTTTTTAATTTATTAATTTCATTGCCTCGAATGTGAAAGTACAGAATGAAAGAAGCTGAAAAAAATATCACTGATGGTTATTGCAACTCGAAGCAAGTGTTTGTAATAATTGGTCATATTTCTTTTCAAGAATTCTTAGTTCCTTTGCAAAATTGGCATTCTTAGTACGTATAGAACTTTGTAGATAGCCTCTTCACGTAGTCTTCATTTAGTATACTTCTTCTCATTATTGTAAAATACAGCTGATTATCACACCGACCACAGAAACAAGTTTTAGTAATTTGTGCTTTTAAGAGTAAACATAAATCTCTGAACAGAAGAAACTTTCTCATGCACGTATGAATATGATTCTCAAAAAAAGAATCATGCTGAAACTCAAGTTGCTTTACCTTGGGAGAAAAATCAATAAATGAAAACTGCTGTTGAACAGAATCCTGACGACGAGTGATAAAGCAGTAATAGAACATTACTTCAGAGAACAAAATATCTCCTTCCATCTTTAAAGGCTTTTTTTTTTCTTAAATCACTAACACCTTTCTTTTTTTACTTTCTAGATTTTTGTTTCCTTTTTTAAAAAATTCTTTGAGACCAACAGACTAAGGGAATCCTGAGACAGCCAGTACTGCCTTCTATCGTGATTGATTGATTGACTGATTGACTCATTAATTTATTCAACTGTATGTCCAGGGTTTAGAAGACTACACATGTGACATTACGTCTTGTCATAGAACATGTCCTTACCAGACAAGCTACCGCCTCATGAGAGATAAATGACCTTCTGTGAGTGACCTTTTATTAAATGGAGTTTGGATCTTGCCCGATCATCGCACTGTTACATTCTCATCCATAGGTCATCAGTGTGTCTGGAGTGATTGGTCTTCAGTCAAACGCTCTCTGGCTTCTGGGCCATCTCCATCTGTCTACTCTGTCCTCAAATCAAAGTAGAACCTCCGGTAAGATTAGACTCTTAGAACACGGGAGCTGGAGGGAGGGATTGACGACCGGAGGCCCTGTACTTTGTTAAGAGCATTAATCTTCGCAACCACCTTATGTGGTGGGTATTACCATCCCTATTGTACATAGGAGAGGATGCGCTGTGGAGAAGCTCCCTGACTTGTCCAGGGTCACGTGGCCGTAAATGGTAGACGCAGCTAAGCTGCCATCCAGTGGCTTCCCCAGCCCATGCTTTTTTCCTTCTTCCTCTCTGCCTCCCTCAGAGAGATGAGACATTCAGCCTAACCCCGTATTTCACAAGTGAAGCTGAGGCTTAGAAAGGTTACATGACTTACAAATGGCGTTAGTGTACTGACAAATCTAGAAAGTAGGGACCAGGTCCTTGAAGCCTGGAAGGGAGTTCTTTTTATTCTTACATTATGTTGTTACAGTTTGTATAAAACTCCCATTTCATTGAAAGTCTCTTCCTATATGACTGAATTTCTGCTGGCCCCTGTTTTTAGGGGGAAAAAATGGGGTAAGTATATTTAAAGGTGTGTATCTCCTTGGCCTTGGAAATGAAATCCTAGCTCTCAGTATAACCAGGGTTTTTTTCTCTGTCCACATTTTTTGATAAAAGCAGTAAAAAACATTTGCAATTCCCACATGCTTAATGTTTGTCGTGCTTGGAGATTTTCTGAGGAAGGCATCCCTGTAATACACGGGGACCTAAATCTGCTCTTTGCCGACCCAGGGGCTCTATTGGACCCAGGCCAGAGAGGTTTTGCTACCAAAGACTTCTCATTAAAACCTAGATTCACATATCCCCTGACAGGTAGACTACGGACAGCATCACCATAACGTGTAGCACTGTAATTACTGTTTCCCTCACTTTCAATCACTCCTTAGCTATAGAAATAGGACATTGTTCCACAGCCCTCCCAACATAATGAACTTGAGACAACTAGAAGCTGTCATGTTAAATGAGGAAAAGGGGAAAAAAAAACTTAGTCATAGTGGAAACCTTAGGTAATGCTAGTTTTGAAGGGCAGTGTGCTCATAATGTCCTGGTAAAAAAGCAAGTTTATGTCAGGCATTTGCTTTTTTACTTAGACCTTTAATTGCTCTGTTAGGGGTTATATGGTCCGGCCCACGTATACTCAAGTCAGGTGGTAGTGAATCATCTTACACCCAGGTTCTTCAGAACAAAATGATTGTGTGTCTGGAAAAATACAGCGGCATGCTTCTGTTGGAATTTTCCAATTGGGCCATTTGTTGCAGTAAAAACCATCTTATGAAACAATTATGGGGGATGGGGAGGAAAAGAATCTAGGAAACTCCCCAGACTCAACCAGCATAAATGTCCCTGCTTCGCTGTTCCAGGCCAGCAGCCACATCTGGTTATTTGCACATGTTGGTCACTTAGAGGTCCCTGCTTTATGAAGTAAGAGACGGGCTGCTATTACTACTGATTGTTGTATTTCCATGGTTCATATATCTGATTCAGGATGTCCTGAAGTAGCCTCTAGAATGGTGGTCTTAGCCTTGAAGCCCAGCAGACTCCTTGCTGGCACTGAGGCTCACATGACAAGACTCATTGATGTGAAAGTGTGGAAAGGATTTTTTTTTTTTTAAAGTTTCTTCATTTTTGAGAGAGAGTGCAAGTGCTGGAGGGGCAGGGAGAGAGGGAGACAGAGGATCTGAAGTGGGTTCTGTGCTGACAGCATCGAGCCCAACATGGGTCTCAAACTCAGGAACCGTGAGATCCCAACCTGAGCTGAAGTTGGACGCTCAAGTGACTGAGCCACCCAGACTCCCCTGGAAAGTATTTTTTTTTAACCACATCAGTAAAGTTTTCATCCCCTGTGATTTTTCAGTTTCTGTTAGGTTTACCAGCCATTTTAGATTTGCTTCCATAGCCTAAGTGAATACTTCAAGGCCAGTCACTTAATCTAATAGAATTAGTTGCAAGCACAGAGTACTGTGCTGAGATTAATGGCATAAACATCTCCGCTTTGTCTCTAGGTTTATATGGCAGCATGAGATCATTATCTTTCCTTCATTAGTCCCACCGAGTTCACTGGTTAATTTGATCATTTTCTGTCTCCACAGTTCCTACCGACTATAGCTATTTGCCTGAGAGCAGTTTTATTAGAGCAGCCATTGGCTTCTTCATTACAGGAGGAAAAAAAGGCAAGTGAGCACATTTCTTGAATTTTATCATTCTTTGTATGCAGTAGGTTTATGTACCCTAAGCTTGCTTCTGTCGAATTGGTAACAAATCTGAAGGAGTATTTTCATCTGCTAGACCACCTTTGCGACAGAAATGACCAGGAGGCCAACTAAACTACACTAAGTGGTGTGTAAACATACATCCTGCATAGGCTCTTGGAATCATTGTATTTGACCTTGGGGGTTGGGGGGGGGCGGTGGCGGGGTATCTGTGAAGGTCTTAAGCTTTCATTTGGCCTTTTCTTTTGAAAAAGAAATTAGTGCGCATTTCTCTTCTTGTCAGTTTCGAGTGGGTGTGACCATAAAAGGGAAAACACACCTGGGACCTGACTAGGAAGTAGGTCTCCCTGAACCTTCAATGATCAGCCTATGTTGTTAGAATCACTGGTGCTCCTTCTTAATTTTAGCACGTGTGTTCTTTTTCTCTGCAAACATTTGTTCCTTTGTGATTCTTCTTTTTTTTTTTAAGGTTTTTATTTTGAGAGAAGAAGTGTGCACGTACATGGGGGAAGGACAAAGAGAGGGGGGGAGAGAGAATCCCAAGTGTGGGGCTGGATCCCACAAAGACCTGAGCTAAAATCAAGAGTCGGATGTTTAACCCACTGAGCGCCCCAAGGTGTCTTGTCCCTTTGTGATTCTTTATCGCTGCCGCCCACATTAGAGCCCAAGCAACCTGAAGACAAAGATTGAGTGCCTTTTTTTAAATGTTTGTTTTATTTATTTTGAGAGAGAGAGAGAACAAGTAGGGAAAGGGCAGAGAGAGAGAGGGAGAATCCCAAACAAGCTAAACTCTGTCAGCACAGAGCCCATCGCTGGGCTCGATCTCACAAACCATGAGAACATGACCTGAGCCGAAATCAAGAGTCAGACACTTAACGTACTGAGCCCTCCAGGTGCTCCAATGCCTTTGTTTGTAACTGAAGTCAGAATACTGCCATATAAGTCTTTAAATAAATGTTCTTTACCGATACACATCTACTCTTCAGTGCTGTGAGGGAAAAATGTATCTCACTAGAAACTATCTTAGCTCAGGAAACTGTTTCATGCATGTAATATTCTTTCATTGATATTATTTGCTACTTTCTCTTTTGCGTGGCCTGGTTAGGTCATTCCGGGCAAAACCAGTCAGTCCCTGTATTTCAATAAGACCGTTCCAATTTTAGGGGGAGAAAACATTTTTAAACAAATTAAAATGAAGAAATCTGGAAGAAGCAAGTTTGATTAATGAAGGTCATGGAAGAGTAAAATCTTACTATTGGAAAGGACATTGAAGGTCATGTCGTCTGACTTCCCACTGGAAACAGTAATCCCTGGAGTTTCCAGGTTTAAACTAGTTTCATAGTTTGGAGATAAATACCTTTACTTCCTAGAGTTCAAGAGATTGTACTGTTATTTTAGGGTCATGAGTTAGTCTAACTGCTTTTACATACTCTCATGAAAAATAGATAAATAGTTGTGTCATTGTTGTACATAATATATTTATAAATAGACATGTAATATATTGTGTATAATGTAGAATTAATGGCTTATATTGTCATAAACTAAGTCTCTTTACAATAGATATCGTAATAGAGACGTCTTCATTAATAAGAAATTGAATTCTTACTAAAGGAGCGTCTAAAATTCCCACAGCTAGAATAAGTTTAGGAGTATATAGTTTTGCTCAAATTTTTCTTCGTTTGCTCACTGATATCTTATAAAATTTTTAAATGATGATGATGTGAGATATTTCCGTGAGAAATAAAATACAAATTCTTAAGATAAAATGAAAGATTTCGTTCCTAGTGAATAAAATGTCATGTTGACTCCCCAGATCCATATTTCTTGGCAGACATGAATTTTCTCTGAATCCTGTGGGAAATTCTTGGTTAAACATAACATTTTTACAATTACACAGTCATGGCACAACAGGAAATGTTCTGCTCTAAAATTGAAAAATCAGGTGGAACTCACATCAGCGGCGTTATTTGCAATCTTGCTGAAAGCTATTTTCAGACAGATAAATGCAGTATTAAAAATGCCATGTTACCAGTCCGATTTTTGGCATTTTCAGGTTGTGGGAGAGGGCTGCCTTCTTGTCAGGTTTGCTGACTAGATTCAGAGGAAAATCTATTCAGCCTCACACATTACTAATGATGACCCAGAGGAGTGGGGGCCGTGGGAGGCTGACCTCCGCCTCCGAAGCCCATTTACAAAAACAAAACCAGACCCTGCTCTATGAGTCTAAATGGGATGGCCAAATGCAGAGGTGTCCATGCAAACGAGTGTTTTCTTCTTCAATATGCCCAGCTCATTTGAATTTTAATAACTCCCTTCTGAAGCAGCTTTTGAGTTGAAATGTCTGGATGTCACTCACTAGAGCCCAGTGGCGCTGCTGATAGGAAGGATGACGACTCTGATGAGCTCTTTTGAGGAAGGAATGGCTTCAGAGAATAAAAATCATGCGTGGCACCGGCCGGAGAGAGGAGACATTGAGGACAGCCTGGTTCCGTTGCCTCTGTGTGCTACTTAATAACTCCCGAGAGGAAGGAATATGTGATGAGTTATCCCTGATCCGCACTTAGGCCAGGACGAGATTGAGTATCATCAGTGTTTAGCCAATCAAATTTGAGATAGTGAATGTATTAATCTGTTTTCTAATGCCCAGTCCTTTTCTCACCTTGGATCCTCACTTTAATATTCATATGATAGAGCACTTCCTTCATACAGGCCTACATTTCAAAACCAAAACCAGAAACTTCTAGTTTCTAAGGGCTTCAGTTAATGGTTTTGAATGTAACTTTTTTGTTTTTGTTTTTGTTTTTGTTTTCTGCCCTGTAACACTCTCCTTTCTTCCCCTAATCACCCTGTCATCGTCGTCATTATGTACTATTTATTCCTACGGACATTTCTTCACTATGCTAGGTTTAAAATTTACTCAGAAGCTAATCCCTCCTATCACAGAATTATTTTTTTCCCCTTAAGGGACTCTAAATTTTGACTCTTATTTTTGCTACTTTTCTGTTCATTTTTTTTCCCATGACTTCTGATCTTTGTTTTTTCTCAATCTCCTAGCCATGTTCAGATTTCATCAAGACTGTATCTATTTCTTTTATAAAACACTTAAAATGTATTAGAAGTACTTAAGAAAAGTAATGATTCATTTTTGCTGCTAACATCAGGTATTTCTACCTAATAATTTAGGATTATTTTTCTTATCATTCTGTTGCTGAGGGATTCGACTAGCTTTCTAAGCTTGTACTTTTCTATTAGGCTTTAAAGTTCACAGTAAGAAGTATTATTTGAGAAAAGTATATTTAAATCCTTTTAATAAAGTCATGGTGAATGGCATATCCTTCTTGATAGGAATTCATTGGTCAGTGACCTACGTGCCTAAGTCATGAGCTCTTGCATAAACTGTAGATAGGAATATTCTCAATTGAGCATTTAGAACTATTAACAAGAGATATAATTATTGAGGAGTCTAGTCAAAGAACAGGATTAGTGAACTCGGGTGTAGAATAAACGATATGGGAAAACTGTCCTATTTTTCTGATGAAATTATGGGGTTGGTTTGCCGAGATTGTGTTAAAGCATTTTAAGTTAGTGATAGTTCACCTATTCAGGTTTTTTAACAAGTATTACTAAAAATGAATACTTGTGTATAACACGAAGTTCAAAACTGGCTTAAGGAAGAAAAAAGAATCTCCTATGATCTCACCACCTAGAGATAGCCACAACAGATATTCCAGCTTTATGTCCATCTAGATGTATGTGTTATGTGGTATTGAATCATAACATGTACATTATTTTGCTGCCTGATTTTCAAAAATTTAACAACTTTTCATGTAAGTGGACATAATCACCACCCATCTCCTCAGGAAGGAGGCTTCTGAGAAGGTATGAAAAGAATCCTTGCATTTGTTCATGGGATGTGTTTTGAGACTATTTGATTGCTGTTTTTTAGTGTAAACACCATGAAAAATATTTGGAAGGAAAAACATCACCAATTACCCCATGACTGTCCAACCACTGTTATCATTTTTGAATTTTATTTTTTAATTTGTTCTTGTGCACACATAAGTTTTGCATCTTTCTGAGCATATATATGCTTTGAGTCTTTTAACTTAAAGCACTGACATTTCCCTGCCTTTCCTGTATCTCTATAATTATCACTTTTAAATGACCGTAGAGTATTCCATCAAGTTGATGGATCATAGTTATTTTAGCCATTTTTCTGTTGGTCATTTAAAAAAGTTCCCTTTAAGAGAACATCTCTCTGCATGTAGCTTTCACTCTTCTACGTATAGTTTTTCCTTAGGATACATTCTCAGCACTTTTTAGTGGGCCAGAGGATCTGGTGACACTAGTGACGGCTTGGCTTCTTTGTTCTGCAAAAGGATTGTCCCAGGTTTGGGTACCTCAGCCCCGGACACATATGCAACGCAGCAGATCACAGAGGTCAGAGGCATGGGGGCCAGGCTGCCAGGATTCACACACCACTCTCCTGTGTAATTTCAGACAAGCTGCTCAGTCACTGAGCCTCAATTGCTTCTATAAAACGGAGAAAATAATTGAACCTTTATAGAGTTTTTGTAAACATTATGAGTTTATGAGTCACTTTATATAACAGTGCTTAGAAAACAAAATAAAGAGGAAACCCTTTCTGGCTATCATATTACAAAGCAAACCAACATAGAGATAAACAGGATTATGATAAAAATCCATCAAGTATAAAATTATACTTTAGCACAGCTTTAATTTACATTTCATTTCCAGAAGGAATGAACATTTTTGCATATATTTACTATTCAAGAAGTTTTTTTTTTTTTTAAGTTTAATTTTTTGATGAGACAGAGAGAGAATCCCACTCAGGCCTCACACTATGAGCGCAGAGCCAGATATAGGGCTCAGTCTCACAAATCGTGAGATCGTGACCTGAGCTAAGATCAAGAGTTAGATGTTTAACTGACAGAGCCACT